CTCCTTGTCTCCAGTGAGTTTGTCTGACACACAATCAAAACATTTTGTCAATACACACCTATAGAAACACCGTTAATATACAGCGTGCTAATTTCTCCCTGTCCTGATATCACGAGCGTCTCTCCTCTTCACTTTGTTTCTCATTTATCTGAATTAACACTTGGACTGAACTTGCTTTTCATCTCCCTTATTTGTCTGTGTCAGCTACTTTATACGAGCTCATTCATGCTCTGATTGTTTTTAGGGCTGCAACTATAAAGTATTATCAATACATTTCATTATCACTTTCCAGGTAATTTCTTTCAATTACTGGTTGATCATTTGTTCTTTAAGGCGTCAGAAAACCCATCACGGTTTCCTAAAGACCACATAACCACATTGGTTTTTTGTTTTTACGCACCAATATGTCAGAACCTGAAAATATGCAGTTTCCAATCAAGTACATCAGGTAATACTCCTCGTCAAGCTGGAAGTAGTGAATTCTGGCATTTTCACTTTAAAACCAAATCAAACAATGAATGAATTATCCAAGTAGCTGCTGATTGTTTTTGATTAATCGACAAATCATTTTTAAACCTGGAAATAGACGTTTGCTGCTAACGTGAATGAAAGGCTGCAGGTCAAAGTGTCAGAAGTAATTTAATTTAGGAAGCCTTTTATGTTTGTTTTAGAAAGTGAGTTTTTCTGGGTATTGAAAATCAAGAACAAACTAAATCCTTGCTTTTTCACATCGTTAAAATCAGGTGAAATTCCTTGTCAGTTAAATGTTCTGACTTGATTTGATGCTTTTCAGTGAGTTGCAGCTGCTAAAGTAAACTTATATTTGACTCTGTTGGGTTACTTCGTGTTTGGTGAGCGTTTGATTATAATTAAAAGTCTCCATGGAGCTCTCCTACCTCCACCTTCCACATTTATGCACAAACATGTCCTATCACGTAGTGAATAAAGCCTCCATTGATTCCAGAGGACACATCCGTGTTTAGCTCAACACGGTCATTCTTTCTTTCTCCGTTCTTCTATTTTCCTCGTCATAATCAACTTATTCAGTCTTGCTCTACTCTTTTCCTCCTCTCATGCTCTCACTTTGCGTTTCAGGTGTGGCCCCCACATTTACTTCCCCCCCAACCGACCAAACAGTAACCGACGGCACCACGGCCTTGTTTACCTGCCAGACGAGCGGCGCTCCGAAACCTGCCATCACCTGGAGGAAAGGTAACCGACAGGATTACACACTGTGCTCACTGACACTGATAAACATAATGTGTATGTAATTAAAAACATGCCTAATGTCTTAATTGCTTTCCTCCACCTCGAGGCTCTTTTATAATTCCCTCTCTCTCTGTAGGATTGCAGGTCTTAGCCAGCGGCTCAGTGCAGGTTCCCAGGTTCACGCAGCTGCAGTCAGGGGGTTTGCAGATTCAGCCGGTCAGCTTCCAGGATTCGGGAGAATACACCTGCACCGCCTCCAACTCCGAGGGCACCATCAACACCACGGCTACGCTCACCGTGTGGAGTAAGTACGCACAATGCTCACAAACAATGATACACTAAACTGCTCAATATACATTTTCTAAACAGACTACAACAGCCACGGAACACTCATTTATCAGTAGCAGTCCAATCGCATTAGCTAAGGCTAGTGAACAGCTGTGGGATTATTGATGCAGTGGGCCAGTGCAGTGGTGAAAGAATCATCTGATTGGTGGAGTCAGGGGATGATTGATAAACCTATGGTAAACTCATTGATTGGCTGGTATATGTATATATATCTATCCTGACAGCTTCAGATGAAAGATGTTGAATTATTCTGGAGCAGCATAGATTTAAATGCACACACACTAAATGAGACTGTCTCATGTTAACACCAGAGGAGAATAACAAACAAGTTCTAACTTTATTTATTTATCCCACGTCTTAATCCCTCTCGCTCTGTTTTTCACCCTCTCTCTCTCTTTGGTCTTTTTTCAGGTCGAACACTCATTTCACTGCCGCCGACAGACAAGCGTGTTATCAAAGGAACCACTGCTGTCCTCGACTGTAATGCCACACACGACCCCAGAGTCAACATCAGGTCACTTTTTATCTTTACTACATAAACACTCATCTTACCAGCACCTGATTCTTTATTTTTCATATACGCAATGGATGCATTCAGTATAAAGTACTTGTGTACTTCCCTGTTGTAGCTTCAAGTGGGATCGTAGCGGTTTGCCGGTCCCTCCGACCAGCGGGGGGCGCGTTTCCGTGCGCCAGGGCTCTCTGACAATTGGCCAGACGTGGTCAGGTGACATTGGGGACTACACCTGCACGGTGACATCACAGGCTGGCAACGATTCTCGCTCTGCGCGCCTTGAAGTCATGTGAGTACAAAGAACCCTGTAAGATGTTGGGAACTTATCGTCCACGTTACACAGTTCTATGGTTTCCACTCACATACAGAGCAGAAATACAACGGGGGGATTTTATTTTTCCTTCTGATTCGACACAAAAATGACTTTTCGCACATCAATCATGAAGGAAATCAACCAATCCACAGCGAGCGAATCTGAGTGATTGAAATCGCAGATATGATTCTCCGGGAGGATTCAATGGGGTCGATTAAGATAAAAAAGTGATTGACTCTGCAGAACGTGATTTAGGGAAAGCTGTGGATGGGTAATTTGGCACGTTGCATTGCAGTAGTGTCAGATTATTTCACTGTAGCCTCATGAAAAGAAATAATAACCATATTCACTCTCTCAACCAAAGGCTGCAATTAAAACTACAAAGTGACGGAATGTGGCGAGTGAGTGTGAGCTATTATTAGACGTAGCGTAAGGTCATAGCTGCTATCAGGTACCCTGTGCACACGGCACACTCCCAGCTCGCTGAAACCAGAGACGTGTTATATCCTTTAAGTGTGAAACCCGTACGCTCAGTGTTCATGAGTGCATTCACATCAAGTGTCATCACAGCCACTGTGAGAGAAGTGTCAAGTAGTGGCATTTGTATATTAATATGCACTTGTACAATATTCTTTTAAAAAGGCAGTTATATTAGATATATTAATACAGTTGCAGGGTGCAGGAGAGACAGAACATGAGTCCAAATCCTTAAATTATAGAAAGACAAGAGGTTACACGTGTCAAACTCTGAGGGAGGAACTATGTGGGGGAACGAAGGGCCGTCTGTACGACTGTGTGTGTGTGGGTGTGCGTGAGTCTGTGTGTGTGAATGCGTGTGACTGACATTCTCGTTAGCTCAGTATCAACGGGTCATGGAGGGTAACAGACGCTGGCGTCTGAGGAGACAGACTAATTACCAGCAGGTTATTGGTTCAGCTCCCACAAGACCCACCCATGTGTTTGTGAGCGAGTGTGTGTGTGCCTGTGTTTGTGGCTGTGTGAAGGTATCTGCTCCAACGTTCTCTAAGCTCATCTATTAATTAATACAATCATGTCAGCTCGGAGAAGAAAACATCATTCTCATATCCCCTCGCTCCCTCTCTGCCTCATTCCATGCCGTTATTGCTTTTTCTTCGGGTGCACGCCACTCTCTCGCTTCTTCTTACGTCTTTCTCTTCATTTACCTCTCTCTCTCTCTCTCTCTCTCTCTCTCTCTCTCTCTCTCTCTGTATGTTTTCCTCATTTTCTGACATGTTACACACTTAAATATTAAAATGTAAAGCAACATGCAAAAAAAACAAGCTCTGACGCATTTTAACTCCGCATCATATTCTGATGAAATCCGAGGCTGCGGTCTGTCAGAGGAGACCCTGTGGATTGGATATTCACACATCCATGATTGTAATAATTAATAAGTAATAATTAATGAGATTATGAATATGGGATGCAGACAGTAAGGGCACAAGGGACTTCGTTTTTCTTCATGATTTCACTGTAAATATATTTATACTGATCTTTTATGTGCTCTGTTAATATCCTCACTCATTTTATTACCTTTTCACTGAGAAACACTGATATCTGCTTCCCCGTCCCTCTCCTCCGTCAAGCCAACAGTTTTTTAAACAGAGTTATGAGCCACTAAATTCAGTATAATCAAACGTCTGGACACTCTGTATTGCTTTCATGAATATATCTGTGTTGCTGCCTTTGTTATAAACATGGCAGCGATGCACAAGCATTCACAGGGGATGGCCAAATGTCTGGAGGATTTCGTTTTAATAGATGTTGTAAGATATGTGAAGCAAACATACAGGGGGAAAAATATCAGCATAAAAAATAGGCAAACCACTGATATATTTAAAAGGTATTCATCCACTGGAACTGGTCCCGGCCTGTCAGTGCCAACATTATTCTAATAGAAAAGCAAAACACAGGTAACAAATATCAGTCTAATGAAAAGTCTCGGCACATTTTCACAGACTTGTTTATAGTTTATATTAGTTTCACACATCGGAAAATATGATGATTTGCTTTCTTTTTTAAGAGTTAGATGAAAAATTGATACTTCTTCACTTCTGCACCGTAAATATAAATCAAGGGCTAAAACTAGTTTGACTGAAAACTGGGAAACCGCTCTGGTTTGGTCTAAAGGCAACAGAATCTTTAAAACTCTACAAAAACCAGAAACAAGTGTGAAAACGACTTGTACTGGTTTTATTGGGAGTCACGTGCTCAAACTGCTCCCCTGGTTGCCAACTGCCTGCAACCAAGTGTTAGCCTTAAAGGCACATACAGATATGTTCATGTCATAATGATCTGTCGGCCTTCATCTAAGTTTCCTCCTAGTTGACGTCTGCAAAACCTGTGGAGATGCTGTCTGGTTCATTTTGTTTCTTTTGTACGGACAGAGCTTTACTGTCTTTGCACTGAGCTAAGCTAACCAGCTGCTGGCTATAGCTTCATGTTCATTGTCTAGTGCCTTTCATCTAGTTCTCGGCAAAAAATGCAAAACATGCCCAAGTATTCCTCTGAAGACTTGGTTCTGATGAATTCACTGGAGAAATATCTGTTAAACTCACGGTGCATGTGATGTTTTCTTGTCTTTGTTGTTTCTAGCGAGCTGCCGCACTCCCCCCGCTCCCTGACGGCCCGGCTCAATGACTCCGACTCCCGCTCGGTCCACCTGTCCTGGCTACGCCCCTTCGATGGAAACTCCCCTCTTCTGTATTACCTGCTGGAGCTATCGGAGAACAGTAAGTGTGTGTGTATCTTTGTGTGTGTGTGTAGTCCCTGAGCGGCAAACAGCTGTACACTTGCTGTCTACCAGGCACTGACACACACTCATTTACAAGAGGCAGACATATGGAGAATGGTGTTGCTGTGTAAATGTTCATCCTGGTTCCCTATAAATAAACTCTTATTTTCCCTCCCTCCATCCCTCCCTCCCTCATTACGCCTCCCCCTCTCTCTCTCCGTCTCTCACTCTCTCCACGGCAGATGTTTTAACAGCAGGCTGGCTCTCTGTCAAAAGAGAAATAGAGGTAGGGAGAGAAAGATGAGAGCCGGGCTGAGGAGAGTGTAGAGTGACAGGAGGGAGACGGCTGCCGAGCCACTCTCACTGCTGCTGTAAACTAAAGGGACGAGTGGTCTGGTGAACACTACGAGCACGGCCAAGCACCTGGCTCGTGACTGACGGACAAATGTGAGAAGTATCATAGTTGGACATTTTTGAATAATCTCCAGAAAGAATGAAAAAGAATTCATCCAGAGATGGATGATGTTTTAGGTGGAGGTATTTATTATACCGGAGGCATCAGGGAGACCAGGCTGATGAGCCGTACAGAAAGTTAACAAGGTAACAGGTGCATCACCATCAAATCGGCCCTGACCAAGTAAAAAGGAGTATTGTAGCGGCCACGTACCATTAGTCTTCATGTGGCGCTGCTCTAATGGAACAAATATGTCTAAACCTTGACTCATCTCGCCAGAACACTGTCGTGTCTCCAGCAAAGTGTGAGTGTGGGTTAGAGAAGAAATAACACAATAACCATAGAATTTCCATAACACTGAAAAGCATGAGGGAAAGCATGAATAGGACTTGTAAGTTCTCTCCTCTCGCAATTTCGTCTGCTGCTCTTCAGCATGTACAGTCCAAAACAATGAGACAAGTTGTATGAGATCGAGAGACACGAGAGAAAATGCGGCAAGGGACAAAAACAGGGACGGATAAAGAGAGAGAGATGAGGAAAGCTGAGAGTTTAAATGTCGATTTCAAAAGAAGATTGAACCCAGACATTGAGGAATGAATGAGATTTGTGTTTACCACCTATTTTGTGTGTGTGTGTGTGTGTGTGTGTGTGTGTGTGTGTGTGTGTGTGAGGTTGTGTTACATATTTTGGAATGTGATTCAGGGAGAATCAGCTGTGTAAGTTGTGTATTTTAATGTCAGACTGGCCCTGAACTCTTAAAAGGGCCCACAGACCATCCCTCTCTCTTATTCAGACATGGAGCTGCTGCAGTGATACTAGTGTAGCTGTCTGTGGTATCTTCAGAAGAAAGATAAGCTGGCAACAAGCTGGCACGAACACCAGCTTCTTTATTAATCCCCCTCTTCGATCTAAACGTTCTTTCTCGGGGCATCCTATGATACTTCTTTCCTTTTAATTCCCTCCAGGTCACCCCCCCGTAACTTTCCAGCATCCTTCCCTGCCTCTTTTATCTGTTCTTTCCCGCTTTACTTTTGATTCATGGATCCCGAGTGTCTCTGTTTGTCCTGCCCCAGCCAGATATTATCAGCCTCTAATCTTTTGTTTCCTCCGTCTAGACTCCCCATGGAAGGTGTACCTGTCAGAGGTTGATCCAGCAGTGTCCGAGGTATCGGTGGGCGGGCTCACACCTGCCAGGACCTATCAGTTCAGACTCTGTGCCGTCAATCAAGTGGGCAGGGGTCAGTACAGCGCTGAGACTCAGAGGTAAGAGAGCGACACGCAGGATCTCATTTCCTCACATCTCAGACTCACCACTAACACCACTCGTGTGATGACACACGACCACACGACTATTTAACTGTTTTCCATTCTTCATGTGGAACACGCCATGATTTTGTGTGAAATAGAGTTTTATTTGTCCTGTTCCATCTCTGTGTAATAGACTTGGTCACACTGCCTCACTAACCGGGAATGAATAAACAGAAACCTTTCTACAGTCAAAAGCCACAGTGTATGCACCCACACACACTCTAATTTGTGTGTCTAAGTAAGCGTGTGTGTGTGTGTGTGTCTGTGTGTGTTTGTGTAGGTTATCATGTGGATGAATAGGAGTATGGGATTCAGAATGGGCATGAAACTGGGATGGATTCTAACAAGGCGAAGATGAAGGGAGCAGTGCTTTTTGTTTAGAATCCATTTCCTTTGCAATAAGTAATTTATATTCATCACATCCATGCAGTGCATGTCTACGTTGTTGTGTGTGTGTGTGTGTTTGTGTGTTTGTGTGTGTTCCAGTGCACAGACTGAAGTAAGCTGCACAAATGGTGAAATTAATGGTTCTGCGTGTGTAAGAAAAGAGAGAGTTGGCCCTGAAAAGTAAATAAATTGCTGTGCAGATGTTTATATGTTTGTGTGTTTGTGCACGAGTTTTCATGTTTATCCCGAGAGAAAACTCTAATGGGGGTAATTATGATGCCATAGCATTGATGGAACCGCAGTGAAAGGAGGGTTAGTGGAGGTGTGGCAAGAGTTTTGTTAGAGACTACGCTCAAAGCAAATCTCTGACACGCGCACAATGCACCAGATGTGACGATGCATTATAAAGTAGACACCCACACACACATGAACATGATTTTGTCTGGCCGTAGCGACTGACCACAGGCAGGGGCCAGTTGCATTTCTGCCAAATAAACTCTCAGCAACATCCGCAGCTGTAGATGTTGCAGTCACACATTTCCACGCCTCAGATTGGTTTCCTTCACTTTCCTTCCCCTCAGCGTTTAGCTCTTTCCTGCACTGAATCTTTCTCTCCTTTGTTCTCCTTTTATTCTAAGAATGGTTGAATGCCTTCTTATTTTCAGCCATTACTCTCCTCCTGCATGCACCAGTGTATTGTTTGTGTCCAACACCCAGAGTCTATAGTCCAAGGTTGGTTGTCAGGGGCCCTGGAGAGTAGATTGGATTGATCCTCTTCAAATGAATGACTGGCAGTATGACAAGTCATCACTGGTCAGCGTATCAGACCAGATGGACACCTCTCTACGTCTGTGTTTGTTTCATACATAAGCGTGTGCACTCTGCCTCTCATCTGCTGGACGTCTGCCTGGACCAGACACACGCATGATTAGTCGCAGATGCCAAAGCTGAAACACAGGGAAGGGAGTGAAAATGTCCTGCTGAAGCTCGGAGTGCCAAATGAGAAGGATGACAAAATACAGTAATGTGGACAGAGGGAGGGAACAGAGGAGAAAGTGAAGGAGCAGTTTTGTAATATTGATGACAAAAAGCCCTTATTAAAGTTTGAACGTCCTGCTGCTTCTGCACGCTCCCATTTTGTTCTTGTCCTGATTAGAATAAGTTTTCACCCCGGTCCTTTTGTGTGTCGATGGGTTTGTTAGCAACATTACCCAAATACGACTGGATGGCTGGACGGCTCAGGGAAGAAGCAATTTAATTTTGGTGTGGATCCAGGAAACGTTTTCTATCATTGTGGGATTCTCAACATATACCTGGATTTCTGAAAAAAATAATTGAGGGCTCATGTTTAGGGAGCTGATATTCATGGGTTTGTGCAATTTGGTGAAGATTCAAATACAAATCTGGATCTAGTGAATTAAAGTGTGGCGTCATCATGGGCTCTGCTCAGTGCTTTTCTAGTTTTTTCTAGTTCTCCTCTCCCTGCGTGTCTGTTCTCGCCTCCTCTTATTCTGGAGCGTTCACGGTGGCACCATGTTGCAAGGAAAAGGGGTCACGATCATCCAGTAAGAGCATGTGAATGATTGTGATCAGACCTGAGAAACATTACTTCTAAATGCAGCAACTCTTTCTATGAATCCAATTATACCATCTGGGCTGTCACACATACGGGGATTTACTCATGCATAACGTGCACTCGCACCATTACCGTCTTTACAGAGGAAGCATTAACACATAAGACAGATTATGCGGAAATGCCTCGAACTTCCAGGCATCATCACAACTTTAAAGCATCGGTCTCCTTTCTCTTTTTTTATTCCAGCTGTTCAGTCAGAACCAGAACGCATTAGAATTCCTCCTCGGGGTGTGAGATAACACACTCTACTGTCATCGTGTAGAAACATATACAAGCCTAATGTGCTTGTATATGTTTGAATGCTTTAGGGGCTTCATAGATTTATCATTTACAAGGGATTCGCTCTGTGCTTTCCAACATCTGAACTGTGTATCTGTGGTTCATTGTTGCTCCGGACTGTGAAAGGTTAATTCATTTAGTTTATGCTATAGAGCAGGTGATTGCAGAGAGAATGTTTGAGAAAAGCTTTTCCAGAGGAGGAGCTCATTATGAGCAACATTACATGCTTGTTTTTATTTTTAATGTTGTCTTTGAGCATTTTGAACAAGAAGACATAAGCTGCAGCTTCCTCCTACATGTACCTGGCTGGATCCCACTGATACCAGCAATATAAGCAGGACATACGCTTGCACATAAATATAAGCCTGAGTCATCTCATTACTGCATGCTCATATAGGTCTTTACTGTTCGGAGGAGGGCGGAGAAACTTAACAGCAGTGAAACTCACAGTGCGGTGGACATTTTTAGATGTGAGCTGGAAAAACGAACAACAAACACGATAACAAAACACAATAAAACAAGGATAAGACACATTCAGTGATGTCTAACGTACTTTAACTCCAGCTTTTCATAATAATGCAGTATACAGAATTAGACGTTTTTGGAGGTCAATAAAATATTTATATATGTTTTTGTACCCAAGCAGGGGCGCTCACTTATAATTCACTTACTAATAACACAAACTATAAATATGAGTAAACAAGAAATGACTTAAAAGTGCACTTTACTGATTCAGGAGTTGTGCAACCCTTAAACTAACCCTAGCCCCTGTAATTAGCCCCTCTGTGTAAACTGTGTCCCTTTATGTCGCCTCATTTAGAGAAATCCTGGATCCACTCCTGCGGAAAAGAAAAATGCAACTACTAATTTGCTAAATTTAATGAAATAAAGAATGTCCCCATGATAGCAGAGAACGAGCTCTACAGAGATTCCTTGGGAGAATATTTTGCAGATCATAAATTCAAATTAACTAGATTAAATTTAAATGATTTTAGCACAAGAGATTTCCTTCTTGTTCATGAATACCTGTACCAAATATTATATGATTATGTATCGAGTAGTTGTAGAGAGAATTCACAGAAAATCAGAATTAATGAACTTATAGGGGCACTAGAGGAAAAGTCGAGGGATCGCCAACGGAATTCGGGTTCGTCCTGCTCAAAAATATCTGCTGAGACATTTTAGTCAACAATAATAATGTTTTTTTAATGGCTTCCCACTTTCTATGAGCCTCAAAATAAGCCTCTCTTTCTGTGCAGGCGACGCTTCTGCAAGAATGTTGTTTATTATCAGCAACACAGAGGATAAGCGGCTGTAGCTGGCACTTACATCCATCGATTGCTCATTGTTTGAGAAAGCTCTAATCAGCCTCAAATTAGCCAGACCGATAAACTGATGGACCTCTTGTCTTGATGCCGGTCATTAGTGTCTCCCTGCACCACAGACATAATCATACATACACAGACAGACAGCAGCAGGTGAAGCTGAGATGGCCACTGGTATTTGCTTTGTTGTTGTGAACGTGTGACAGTTAAATCAACATCAGGAGACGAGGTGCATTAAATACAGTTCAAATATCTGTGCACTCGGCTGGCGTTGGAAAAAAACTGCAAGTCGATGTTTCTAAATGTTCCTTTAAACCTCCACCGGCAGTAACGACACAGTATCTACAGTGACGTTTGAATTGTTTTCAAGCTGGTGTGTGGTAAAGAAAAAAAACAGCTACTGATCCGAAACTGTGTGTGTTTTTATTTAAGTTACAGGCATAAAGGACACGTACAGTAGCGAATCTGTGCCGCAGCTGGTTTTGATTCACTGTGAGAGAATCCACTAAGTTTAATTTCCCCGACAGAGTCTCTTTAGTGTGTCAGCCTCCTCCATTAGAGCAGCTTTTAACCTCCAGTGAAACAGCACAACATTTAAAGGAGACCAGACTAAAAGTGTCAGGCGAGAAGAAAATAAGGTCATTTATCCAGTTGGTTGTAACCAGTCACATCACATCTGGTTTCTCCCTCTCTCTTTTTTTATTTCTATTACCCTCCATTCACTTTGCTCTACTTCTCGTTTCCCACCGGACCAACATTTTCCTATCCTGTTTGAATACAGGCCGACTTAACGTCTCGGTAACGCCGTTAAATTTAAGAGTCGTGTGTACGTGGATTTGTTGAGAAAGCCATGGGCACTGAACTGTGGAGAATGACAAAGATAGAAACTTTTTTCTAATTCCCACAGCAGAGAGACTCACAAACACACACACACAGACTTTCGCTCAGACTAGGAAACATGCAGATCTCCAGCAGAAAGTGTCCTCCTTTCCTTAATAACTAGGGACAGAGAAAGTGTGTCAAGCAGCGATCCGCCTGTGTAATTGTGTAGTGTTTGGATGCAGGGTGTTGGTATGAGTGTCTGCAGCTGTTTAGGTGGTTGTGAAGTGTGTAGGTGTGATGTTGCTGTTTTTATATTTATAATCTCCGCTGTGAAGTTGATGTCCTCGTGCTGAACCGACTGGATGAAATATTAACTCGCAACTGGTTGGGAGGGAATTAAGGCAATTCACGAGGACTTTCTGCAATCCAGCAAAAAGTGTGTTAATGTGCGTCAGTGTGCGTGTGTGTGTCTGTGTGTGTTTGTGTGTTTCATCTGCAGTCAAACAGTGAATGGCCGCATCTGTTCAGTACTGTATGGGGTTTGTGGGGGTTTGTGTAGCGTGAGTTTGTGTATGTGCATTAATGTGTGTCATCAATTTCGGTCAAAAGCAGTGGCATAGTTGAGGATTATATATACCCCATTTCCAGACGGCTACACTAATGCCCATCTCATTCACACAGGGCCCATTAGCCTATGTGTGTGTGTGGGTGTAGATGTCTGTGCCTGCAGCACCTGGTGCTGTCTGACAGTGCCTAACCTAATGGAAGTAAAGCACAGCTGTAAAACCACTGGCCTGTGCCATATATCCGCCTGCACAAGTCTCTGGCTAACAGCTTTCACACCCCTACTCTCACACAAACTCGTATATATAGACGTGCACACACATTTATAGGCACGTGCAGATTCAGACACACAAATTCAGGGAGCCCACACCACAGCTAATGGCTCAACAGCTTATAGAGAATCATTCGGGGAGAGATGGGGCACGATCCATCTGCAGGCATAATCCATGGAAGGGAAAAGACCATCGGATGTAGCAGTGTGTCTTAAGCAGGAGAAATTTGTTTGGTGTGTTTATATGTGTGTGTGTGTTTATATGTGTGTGTGTGTATTAGCACATATGGCTCTGATTACATTAGCTGAGCTGCTTACAGTAAAGCCAGAGGCTGACCAGCTCGGCCTGTGTGCTTTATCAACCATGAGAGGGCTGGGAGCTTTAATCACGGGTGGGGGGTTGCAGGGTTATGTGTGTGTGTGTGTGTGTGTGTGTCGGGGGGGGGGGGCGTTATAGAGCATGAGGGAAGGAGATGAGTAAAAGATAGAAGCATGAAATAATTGAGGCCAAAGGACATGATGGATGAAAGGTGAAAGTTTGCAGATGGGGGAGAAAAAAAATGGAGAAGTAGTTCAAAATGTCAAAAGAAAGATTGGGAAACTGATTCAGAGTGTCAGAGGAGAGGAGGGGAGGGGAGGGGGGAGACAGAGAGGGAGAGAGCTGGAGATCATACTTGTCCCACTGGAACTGAAAAGACAAGCTCATCCCTAATAGTGACTTAACTATCTGCTGCTGTCAAGTTGTGTAGCTGGTCCACTGGGGCACTTGTGGTCGGGTTGAGGTTGATGTAGAAACCAACCAGACAAAGATTGCTGGAGTAGAAATGAAGATAATTTGGAAAAACCTCAAGTTTAAAAAAACAAGCAATAAACAATCATCTGCAACATACAGACAGTAAATGTGTTATTTGTTCTTCTCTGCCGACAGTGAATAAAACACATCTCTTCCCGGGTTCATGAACGTGTTTTACATTTTGTTGTTTTGAACACCCAGAGTCAGCTCCATCAATCCCAGGAGAGATCCGCTGGCGCACTGGAAGTGATGCGTTTAACGTTTCCATCAGCGGCAGCGCGGTGGTTTGTTTGAAATAAATTAACAATATAGCCAGAGATGAAAAACAAATGTTTTTAATGAAACTGCAAGATACAGCAGGAGAATGAGGGAGGAGGAGGAGGAGGAGGAGGAGGAGGATGAGGGCAGAATTCATCAGAGCTGCGAAATGACGCTGTGTAATAAGTTGTAGCTCGGCCCCCGTTGAATCTCTCCTGCGAGAAACATGATCATTTGTTGTTAGACGGGTTCTTCCAACCACAAACAGAGGAAGACGTCAGTTTCTCCCTGTGACTGAGCAAAGTAACGTCAACATATAGACGCCTGTAGTTTCTTACCAACGTGCGAAAGTTACGTCATTGTTGACGTCTCCATCCGTCTCAGTTCACACATCAAATTCTGAGCCTCAATGAGTCTTTAGCCGACTAACACCGTGACACTGCTACTGTGCGAACTGTCCATATAAGTGATGTGTTGGACAAACTCGTTCACTTCTTCAGCATAACTGATATTCTCATTATCAAACACAGACGCATGATCAAAATCATTTGTCTCTCTTGTGCTTATTTGTTTTTTCCCTGTGTGTGTGTTTTAGATTGATGCTCAGGGAGGAGGCACCCAGCGCTCCTCCAAAGAACATTGTGGCCAGTGGGCGTACAAACCAGTCCATCATGGTGCAGTGGCAGCCTCCACCAGAACCTCAGCTCAACGGAGTCCTTCGAGGATATGTACTCAGGTACACATACTCACAGAAGTGCACACACATGCATATTTGGCTTTATAGTGATGCCAGTGTTCGGTAGGTGTCCATTAATTTTTAGTAGAAAATGTCTGCAAAATATTTTATAGAGGATTAGTGACCTCACTGGGCTAATTGGTAACTGCAAACACATTAGCCAGCTGGGCGAGAGCGACTCTGTCACAATAGGTACTCGAGCTTTTTTATTCTCTCTGTGTTGTGCGGTTTATTCCCTCCAGTATTTTGTCCTTGGGACAGAACGTCATTTCATTAAGTAAAGAGTTGTTGAAAAGACAGTAAATAGAGCCCTCTGAGCTAATGAGCTTGCTGATGGTTATTAAGCAGCTTCGTTATCGCTCGTCTATTGTTGAGCAGTCTAGACTCTAACGGAGAAAGTTGTAGAAAGGAAACAGTGCCACACATCTAACAAGCTGAGACACTCTGGCTCTTTGTTTCCTCAAAGGTCAGCACTTTCGAGACAGCGTACTGTGACACTTATCCCATTTAAACTCAACATGAGAATTGTGAGCAGCTGTACTTCTCAAATGAATCTGCTAATTGCGGTAGTTTAAATGAAAATGCCCTATTTTCCACAGAATTCTGCTTCTCCAGGTTCATAGGTGGGTTTTTCTTATTTGACTCGGCAGCACTGAGGATTCAGACGCTCGGCATAACAGCGGCCTTCTTTGTGTACCTGTCAGTCAGGGGAGCACAGGAGAGCATCAGCTGCCTCCTCTGATTGTGTGGGAAACACTAGAATCATTGAGATAATTCCAAATTCTGATTGGCTGAAGATTATAGATTGATTTTTTTAGTTACTGTGACGATGACAGTTTCAAAATCGAACGGTTAAAACATCTGTGAGTCCGTGTTTTTTTTGCGTGGATACAGAAGAAAAGAGGAGGAAATTATCATCAGGTGACTTAAAGGCTGCACCAGCTCGGTTTGAGTTGCTTGTAAATTAGAACTTGACAAAGTATCAACGACTGATTTTACGATGGTTTTGTTTGTTTAAGCGTTGAAAGGCATTTTGTATTATTTTTACAGAATACGGTTTGTGCCAACAAAGATTTCCATTTCCAGAAAATCGATATGACGCAGGAGTTAAAAGCAAAGAAAAACTTTGTCTCTTTTCATTCCCGAAAACGAAGAGAAGCATTCAACCACACACACATTCACACACGGACACGAGTGCACTTTACAGATGCTCTGGCTGCCCTTGGTCGCTGTCCTTCATTTTGATGTGTGCCTGCAGTGTCACACACTGTGTGTAATCAAACTGTCATCAGCTGCCTCACACGAATTTGCATATAATTGCAGTAGAAGTTATCAGGTCTTTATCCTCATTCACTGCTTTATCTGCCTCCTCTTCAGAAATCAGTTGAAAGTAGAAACTCACACTCGTACGACTCGACCGTATCATTTTGGCTTCAAAGCACGGAGCTCCCACCTCCTCCTGTGAAACCCTTTGAATTCCCCTTTCTCGTACTTGTATCAGTTCCCAGATCCTCACCCGCTCTCCTCCCTGGGAAAGTGGGAGTATTTTCTCCCACCCCCCACTTCCTCAGGTGGAGGGAAGAGAAACTCCTCTACAGAGATCCACTGTCAGCCTGTCCCGCCCTCTCGCTTTGTGCGTGTGTATCTGTATATAGTTTGCATTTGTGATAAAGCGCTGACTCAGGCAGGGAAACATTGGAATATTCTGTTGCAGTAAATGGGCTCCATATTTAAACGCTGACACCATTCAGCTCCCTCAGATATGTACAGTGGCAAAGTGGTTTACACCTCCTCCTCCTCGTCGGGTCATATTTCCTTTTAAGTAGACATTTATATGTCATGCACTATAGCGAGGGCTTTGAAGGTGCACTAATCTGAGATGTCTACCAGGTACTGAGGGTTTTTATTCTCCCATGATTGTGATGTGATTCAAGTGACTTCACACCAACAGAACGTCTCTCTGCCTCTCAGATGGCCGACGTAAAAAGAATTGAGCAAAAGTTAAGTTTGTGTTTATTCCAGAAAGTGTATTTAGTCTTATAGAGTGAGCACTCTGATAAGATTGTTTAATGTTAGAATCTTAATGATGTGTTTTTTTCCCGGCTTTGTGCAAAAGCCCGGGGGTTGTACTTGATGTGTGTGCGTTTGGTTATATTACATCCATGCGTTCGTCCACAGCGACTCCTGACAGATTTCTGGATTTATTATTCAGGATTTATTTAAATGTGGGATATAAAGTGTCAGGTATTGAACCGAGAACCTTTACGGGCTGATTCACTGAGCAACCTGAGCTACAGCTGTAATATTTTTCATTTGTGCATATATTCTGCTGTGTACTTTGACTCACAGTCCACCTCTTATTTCTCCCGACCATCCTCGATGTGTTTCTCGACTTGATTTGGAATCCACCTGCGATTGATTCAATCAATTGCACCTGGTTTGGAAAGACACATCCATCTCACAGCTGACGACGCGCATCAGAGCAGAAACAGTCAAAGTAGGAGCCCAACGGAGCTCCGAGATTTAGTTGAGGCACTGATCTGGACAGGCACAGTGGCCGCCATGATCCTTAAATGGAAGAAGTCTGGAAGAGCCAGGACTCTTTGCCGCCTGATCAAACTGAGCATTCAGGGGGAAGAGCCTTGGTAACAGAGTTGACCCAGAACCCAACAGTCACTCTGGCTGAGCTCCAGAGATCCTGTGTGGAGGTGGACGCATTTATTTTTTGTGTTGTTTCATATCCTGCTTGCTTTTCTCACTTGCTTTTCTATGCACAACCTATTTATAAAGCCGCTCCTGTAACCGTGTGTGTTCGCAGGTACCGTCTGGCAGGGCTGCCGGGGGACTACCAGGAGAAGAACATCAGCAGCCCAGAGACCAACTACTGTCTGCTCAAAGATCTGATCATCTGGACTCAGTACCAGATCCAGGTGGCCGCCTACACTGGAGCCGGCCTGGGTGTCTACAGCAGCCCTGTCACCGAGTACACTCTGCAGGGAGGTAAGAAAACACTCACACATTGTTTTTATTTCTTATTCATAGAGGACAACTCAAGATATATATCATATTTTTGGATATCATGTCAATCATCAGTCCATTACTGAACACAGGCGTTATTATGTAAACATTCTAGTAGCATTACCTTTTCATGAACAAGTAGAAAGACCAAAAGCTTTTCACCTAAATAAAGTCCCAGTTGTTTTTTGGACATTTTGACTTTCACTGTCCTGATCAATTCTTTTCATGTGATTAATGATTGAAAGACAGAATTCGTAACGAGCAAAGATATATTTCAATGTAGTTCTAAAAACATGCACAGTACTCACAGACCTGTGTGTCATGGGAGTGTTGATGATCATTCTCACCACATTTTACTTTATTGGGTGATGATCAAATGACTGAGCAGCAGCAATGAGGTGTCTCCACAAGCTGGCGGACTTCCTGTTGGTGGTAGGATGAGGAACCCGGTAAGCGCAGGTCAGACGAGCGTTAAAGGCGTCGCCTCGAAGGAAAACCAGCGTCAGCCAGCTGGGACGAGAACCTATAGGCGTGACTCATAACATGCCGGAGGGACATCTCATGGGGAAAGAGTTTCTGCTGCTCTATAAATATATTACATGATACATAATTGTGTAATAAACACAGGATTTTTAGTAAATATGGCTACGCAGGGTAGCACACTCTCAACTCTTCACACATAAATCAGTGGAGTGGTTGTGAAAAAGTGGAAGAATGTAAGTGAGGACTGTAAAGGAAGACGAGAGGTAGTGGTCATGGGTTTAAATCACCTTTAAAACACAGGCTCTTTTTGTCCTGACTTTTATTCCAATAGTAAATTATCATTATTACAGATGGGCCGAGCCACACACACACACACACACACACACACACACGTGTCCACATGTGCACATAAAGCTCCCAGTCGTTATTACAAGAGTTCAGGACGGGTTTATGGACTCAGGAGAGGGAGTTAGGCTCATTAATTATTCTAATGTGGTTTAATGGGAGTGGCTGCAATAGATTGGACATTTTCTCTCACTATCTCTGAGAGTCTGTGGTTGAACACAGCATTAACATAACATTTCTCTTTTCCTCACTCTCCCTCACGCTGCCATACGTGCATAAGATTCCCCCAGAGGACGGAGTTTAGTGTTTTATCTGTAGCAGTGAGCTGAGAGGGGTTAGAAGCCGGTCCCCAGGTGTACAGTCAGCGTGGCGCGGGGGGGGAGGAGGAGGAGGGAGGTAGAGAGAGCATCTTTAATATCAATTAATCTCCCCCGCTCATCCCTTGGTTCACTTTCCCCTCTTTGTCTCACTATCTCTCGCCCTCCATTTGTCACTAGTTTTTGTTCCGGTCTCCGCTCCTCCTCTCCGTACACTCTCCTCTCCTTGTTGTCTGGCCTCTCTGGCTCACATATAAAAATGCAAAGGGCACTCCCATCATGCAACGGTGCATTATCACACTGTGGCTTTCTAGCATCAGCATAATCCCTTTACGGTGTGATCACCATGACACACGCACACAAACACGCACACATGAACAAACACAAACGCACGTGCACACATTTCCCAGTCACACCCCTCTCTCTCCTCCTTCTGGCTGGAGTGCCATCATGGATCCTTTTCTTTCACTAAGCAGCTGGAAGACGAAGATTCACATCTAGAGACACATTAGAGGGGATGTCTGTAGAATGAGAATCAACACAGGAGACATTAGACGAGACGGGACCAACAGACAAACAACCAATCACACTCACATCCCCACCTACGGCCAATTAAGAGTCTCCAATTAACCCGAAGCCAGCGTGCAGCTCTTTGGACTGAGGGATCGCGTATGTCTCATCATGCATCTCATTCACACGCAGCCATCAGGAGCAATTTGACGTGCGGTGTCTTTTTCAAGGACACTTTGGCTCGTGGGCTGGACGAGCCGAGTATCGAACCACTCTGCCTCCTGAGCTACAGCCACCATATAAAAAAACAATAGCAAGTTAATGTTTTATCTATTGATAAATCGATCTATATGTAAGATAAACGGGTTTTTCAAGTTTTTCAATTCCATGAAGCATCCACCCCAGACGGAGATTTCCCATGTGCATAGTGATTAAAACACATTGAGCTCCTAATGAAAAACTACCTTCAGCAGGTTTGGAGCATTTGAACCATACAAACAAGTTGAAACCCCCCCCCCCCACATTAGTTTAGTTTCATCTAATGTTTTTTAATTATGTCTCTTGTGACCTCTCCAACTCAACAGGGAAGCAATACTGAATAGTTTAAGAGCCCATTGTAAGTTAATTATTAACACAGATCAAATGTCATACTGCTTGCATCCAATACATTGTATATCTCAATCAATAAATCATGATGTGCTATGCAGCGACATCAATTGGGTAATAAAGGTTGACAGGGCTCCTTAGTTAGGAGAATAATACGTCTACAGCACTGAACCAACAAATCAACCGAGTATCTAACTTTCTACGGCCACCGTCTGGCATCCTGAGGTCAGCGCCTGAGGGGCTTAATAGATTGAATCTATCATTTTAGATGCCTCCACGAGCCACCGCCATCGTTCAGAATCAGTCACTGATGGGTCACTACCCTAATCTCACCAAGTCATTCCTGAGGTAATAATATGCAAAATGCATAAATGCAAAATACAATGGATGGGATGAATTTTATTGAGAAATTGGGTCATTTTGCAGCAAGGAATAGAGGGGTGGGTTTGGCATTTAGCTTTTGCAAGCTTAGCAGAATCTTTTAATTAAAAAAAAAAAACGAACCCACTCTCAACATGAAATATTGAAATATGGTTCAATACCACGAGTTCATGGAAGAGAAGAAGCCGAACTCTGTTAAAAAGCTGTTTGTTTCTGCAGCTTCGGGCCTCGAGTGTGTTACCGTTCATGTTTTCCTCGTGTATCTAAGAACGCTTCCTCTAAATACAACGTGCGTGTTTATCTGTGTTCAGTTCCCACAGCACCTCCGCAGGAAGTGGAAGTTGTAGCTATCAACTCGACCACCATCCGCTTCACGTGGAACCCTCCACCTCAGCAGTTTATTAATGGCATCAACCAGGGATACAAGGTAAGCCTCTGGATGAACTTTGTCTTGCAAGACCTGTCTTACGTCAAAAACATTTCGTGTCAAGTTCAGTAAAATTAAAGATGTTGACGGTTTTTGATTTTAAAGGTAAATTCCTTCAATCGTAAATCTGGGTGCAGACACACGTCCGTCTACAAACCAATTACTGTCAAGCAGAGGTAGACGCACCGTATTAAGTGATGATGGCAGGACATACCGTTCCCTAAATTGCTTTGTGAAACTTGATTAAACAATTAAACAAAGACATAAATCTTGGTTTCTGGACTTTCAGGTTTGAAAATGTTGGTGGTATGTAGCAGGAAAAGATTAAAAAAACCTCAAATAATATGAACTAATTAAAAAGAAAACAATCCATATTTTCCGTGTGTGGGTACGTTTTGTGGGAAAAAATGTCTCTTTCAGCTCAGGGTCATGCACTGCTTCCTGCTCCTGTTTACCCATATACTTAGCCAAGTCAAGTGTGGTGAGGTAAAGAAAAGAGAGGATTGAACATGGAGGACAAAAAATAAGGTGTTAAGAAAAACAGGAGCAAAGGACTGGAGCAAAAATGAGAGATAGTAAAAAAGGAGCTGCAAGCAGGATAATGGGGGAGCAGGGTGAGAGAGCGAAGGGCTGAATAGTGTGAGTGATCTATATGTACTAGTTCTGCTATTTGATTTATTCTTCACTTCGCTGTGCCAACCAAACCCAGAGGAACTGATTAACATGACAAAGAAAGCACACATGTGGCTGTGCGTCACTGGGTCTGTGTGTGTGTGTGAGTCTGAATGTTGGTGTCTTTGTTAGCTGATAAATACTATATGTTTTTCCATCTGTTTGATGTTGCCTGTGTTTGCAGGCGCTTCCACTTCACATCAGTGGAGCCTTTCACCGGCGCAGCACATGTGGCTGTGCATCGTCTCGGGTGTGTTGTGCTGGTTAGAGGACAGTAGATAATGATATTAATTAAAAGAGGATATGAAGCAAAGCCTCGTTTCATTCCGCCCCCCACAGATCAGTGATTATATACAATACCTTTAATAACGCGGCTGAAAAGTGATAACCAGACTGAGAGCCGGTTCTGGTGAGTCTTCCTCCTACATGTCCTTGACACTTATGGCTTATTAACGCCTGAGTTTTTAGAGACGCTCACTTCAGTTATCATCTTTGTCTTTGTCGCTAAGTGATTAATTAGGTTTACTCAGGGAACTTACTGACAAAGAAGAGCAACAGTTTCTAACTAAACATGTTCCATTTTGCTTGGATTCTCAAGGTTTACCTTCCACACACAAGAGGTTGTACTGTATGTGCATCATTTGAGTGATGGGTCTCAGTCGTCCGGGTTATGAAATGTGCTTTATGAAGACAACTGGACTTCCTTGAGGTCCCTGAAGATGTTTTATCTCTGAACAGAGGAAGCCTCTCAGACGAGAAACCTCATAAAGTTCTGAACTTCACTTAGAAGTGTGTTTACAGTAAACGATGAAGCACGAACATATACAGGAAAACATTTATCAGCATTATAAAGTATTTTACCCTCAACCAGAGGTAACACACGTCTCAGCCGAGGGTGTTCTTCCGAGGACAGAGCTGCACCTCCATCACGATCCAGTGCAATCAGAACGCACATGTTTCTATAGCAACAGCAGAGCCAGTCCTCCCAGCTCCCTTTTTAAAAGTGGACCAGCACCAGAAGCCACATCAGCACATTTTTACTGCACCCAAAATACACTGATAATGCATTACAATAGAAAACCTTGTTTTACAATGACTAACTGGGTGCAGTGCAGCAGCCTCAAGGCAGAAAATCTCAGCCGTCTCTGGGTATCAACAGCTTTTTCCAAACAGCAGGACCTGAGGTTTTTGATTGTTTGACTGGTTCCTATTGCAAAATATAAAAAGGAGCACGTAATGTTTTAATCATTAAGATTTCTGTTTTTTTATTTATTTGGCAACAGGAGACAGCAGAACGTTTTGCTATAAACACTAATAACTCTCTCATCAGCAAAGTGTTTCCATCCCCGGCACGGCTGCTCGCTGGATGTTTGTCACACCTTTCTGTTCTGTGTGAAACGATCAGTTTCGTCTTGGCACCAACATTCACTCCACAGTCGACGTCACTGAGATCCCATTTTCCCGCTCTGATGATTGATGTGAACATTAAGTGAAGCTGGGGACACGTCTCTGCCACACGGTTGGCCGATCGGATGCTTTCACGTAACAAGGCGTGAAGTTGGCCCAAATAAATATCAGTGTTGAAATCTTAGAGATGAAGATGCTCTCTTAAAACACAATCTAGGCAGAACACATCAGGACTGCGTTCTGTTTCTGTTGTGTCACAAACAAAATCTAACGGTCTCACTACTGTCTAACGCTGAGCTCCCTCTCATCGTTCCCCTGGTCACATTTCATTCAGTCCCTGCTGCGTCTGAACTTTGGTTTCAGTTCAGAAGTGATCTGGTGTCCTTGTGCATTGTGAAGTAGGGGAAAAAAGGAGTCTGCGCTCTGGGTCACTGTCTCCAGAGTTCCTGCCATCAGCTGTAGTTTTGCTCCTCAGGCGTCTCAGATGTGTGAAGCCACTTGTGCCCAGTCTACTATAAAAAAAATGGAGTTAACCCCATCACCGCGTGGACTGTCAGTCCGTCTCTGCCGCTTCGCTTCACACCGAACGCTACACCTCAACCCAGAAATGAATAAATTAACAAAAGTCCTAATGGGTCATAATAATGTCACAGCAACGTTCACTTAATTTCAACCAAATATTCCAACAGAAGGCGGCTTCAGTGGCTACAGGCCCAGGCACAGGTAGTGTGCAGGGACTATGTGGAGAAAATCACTTGATGTGAGTCAAACAAGAGATTTTTAGCATGTGAGCCGTAAGACAGTAGACATACAGGTCACTTTTTGAATTTTGATGAATTCTGATGTAAAGAGAAGCTTTTGTTTTCACATCTACAGGGGGGATGCAGCAATAACAGATATATGTTAATGCACACCCACCAACAATATGCTATTAAAGAGACATTTTGAATTAAATTATCATATAAAGCTGGTCGCTAAACAGGATGGATTTTTTTCCTGCATTGACAAACCACTAACCCACATCGCTCTGCTTAATTCTGATGAAAACTTCGCCTAAAATGTATTTAGCCAGTTATTTCTTCATGCTCTAAATATGTGTACCATATTTAGTGTGGCCCCTGGCTTATCTCTCATTATGAATATGTAAGTGAACGCTCTTCACTGTTTGTTTTTGTGGCCCGAGCAACAACGCAAATAAAGCCACCGTGGCTCGGAATACAAATCAAGTCCCACAATGCAGACGAGCTCACTTTTCATTAAGCATTTAGTTGCACTGATAGTCAAACTCAGTGTTTGCCTTCAGATGGTGTTATGACTGATAATGGCCCGGTGGTAGAAATGCATGTTAAGTGGAACATCTACATGTGAATAAATCCTTCAGTTTGAATGCACTGGAAATGCAGATGTTTTGGGTTTTGTTATTTTTCCGGGGGAATGAAACAAATGTGTGAATACCGTTTGGTTTTAAACTTCAATGACAAGAACACCCTTGTGTGTCTTCCTAATTTTAAAAGATTCACTTTGTGCCATACTGCTGCAGAAATAAGTTTTGTTTCATTAGTGCAGCCTGAATAATAAGATTTGAATTCAGTGGCCTGGAGCTACTGCCGTTGAGTCAGATTCACGACTAAACAAATATGGGGGAACTCACAACAAACAGATTAACCGGCATGAATATTTATTTCTAACCGAGATGTCAACAATGATCAATTGTTCTTGTGGAACTCAGCTGCTGGTGTGGCCCGAGCAGTCGCCAGAGGACGTCATTGTCGTGACCATCACGCCGGACTACCCAGGTTCACGCCACACGGGATTAGTCAGCGGGCTTAAGAAATTCACCTGGTACTTCGGCGCCACCCTCTGCTTCACAACACCTGGAGACGGCCCCCGCAGCCCGCCCACCCTGCTGCAGACGCACGAGGACAGTGAGTACACACACACACACACACACACACACTTCAATTTGAATAATGCCAGAACATATCACTCTATCAGCCTCTCCTATGAATAATAATGAAATGTATTGACTGGCTCTGTTTGTATCTGTGTGACACACAGCTGCTTACACAACGTCTACTCTCCAACACCCCCTGTTTTCTCTTAGGCTCTTACTTTAGTTCCTCTCTTATTTAATCTTTGTTCTTAGTTTCCCCTCCTCTCTGTCTTTTTAAAGGGAATTGATTCATATGTTGGCATTTATAGCCCACTGTTCCGTGGATAAACATAATAGAGGCCGCTCCCAGTCACAAGTACACATGCACACAGTCGCACCGTCAAATAAACACAATAGCCTGTAGGCAGACAGACAAGCAATTATTACCAGCCTGCAATTATCGAGTGGGAAAGAGATATTAGAAGCCGAGTGCACACACACACACGTTAACACACATCACATGCACACACACGCTCACACATACACACAGCTGAGGACAGGTATTGATTGGGTGCTGGGCGTGTTGCAGGGTTAACGGCGGGTGTAATTCTTGCTTGATGATAGCTGACTGTGTGCGTGTGTGTCTGCGTGTGTGTCTGTGTGTGTGTGTGCGCGTGTGTGTCCAATAGTGGACTTCTCAGTCATTACACACTGTGGACCAGTGAGCTAGCAGGGCACATTTTTTAGTTCCACTCTCAGTCATTCTTTAAATCATGCTATAATTATGTCTCAAACTCTATAACTCTGTAATGTATTTTAATTTTATCCACATTGGGGCCGACTCATGTTACAGTTCATGCTCAGCACTGCCTCTGCAGGTCGGAGCAGGGATTTGAAAGACTCATTCACAAACATTGTATCTCCACAGTGTGAATTATGTGGAGCCCGAGGCTACAGCCACACTCAAACTATTTAGTTTTAAAATGCATTACACTATGTTTATGCCTTCTGTCCATTCAACTTTTTTAGCCCCTGAAAACAGAGGACAGAACCTTGGCAACACTTCGGGCGCTGTTTATAAAATCCAGGGCTGCGTTTTATTCTGGACAGACAGAAACCGAGACTGATTTGGAAATGATGATGCACTCACCTGCATCCTGATGATGCCAGACCCGGGGCCTGATTGGGTCTTATCACTCACGACTCAACCGCCAGCGATGAATAGGAAACATTGCTGGTGCTTACATTCAGTAACAATTCCACCTCCTCGTCGGCCCAAGTAAAGAAATCCCTGCTCTGACTTTTTGCTGTTCTTTGTTCATGGCATCTCCTGGATCTAAACAACCCACGGCATCTGCTGCTTCCTGTTTACACCTGCACATGCATGATCCGTGAAAGCAAATGTTCAGTGTGTGTGGTTGTAGCCTCAGACTACACTGATAGAACCACTAAGTACAAAAGGAATGGTGTTAAAGGACACTGGTAAAAACAAGCAGCAGGATTTGAACTGCATCACTGGAGGCTGCAGTTACAAATAAACCCAAGATGTGAGCAAGTCCCTTTCTCAGAGGTGGCTTTTCTCCAGCTTTTCAATATTCTGGGTATAAATTTCTCTGAGTCTCATAAGGATCAGACTCACAACTTCTTTTTCAGAGCCTTCGAATGTTTACTTTGCTGAAAGGATCTCAAAACTCCAGAGATTTCCTCCCACTACCTGAACAGAGACATTTTGGACGACCTGTGGATATTGAACTTCAAAACTCAGGCATCAAACCCACAACGCCAAAGCTACCAAACAATTCTCTCAGTCTCGGAGTCTTTCCTCAGGGTGCAGGACTTCAAAGTTTAATAAGTTGCCGGAGGATTAAACCCACAACAGTAAAACTTGTGAATTGTCCAGTTTCTCCAGTGCCTTTCCACTCGGCCACTATGATCTGCCAAAGGTGGTGCCAGCTTTTCCTCTGGACAGCACCCAAAGGAGAGAAGTCAATGACACAGAGTGGAACAGTTGTTAACTAAATAGCTCAGCTTGTTAGACGACTGCTTGGATGTTCTAGGCTTAAACTTTTATGAGGCTCAGTGAATTTTGAAGCTCAACTCCATGAGTGAAGACTCGAGGGCTCCAAAAAATGCAGCTCATAAGTGTCTGACCAAATGTCTCAAAATGTCAGAGGGGTGTTAAATCTTTTAGGATGTGGGACCTCGCTGTGGTTCACCTGGATAAGGATGAACCACCATCAAGGCTGAATCCATACAGCAGCCGCCCAGGCCCTTTGCTGCAAGTCATCCCTGCACATGTCATGTCATTCTCCACTGTCTCCGTCTAATAAAGCTGAAAAAAAGTCTCCCCCCCAAAAAAGAGTTCAAATGAAATATTGAGGTTGTGGGTTCAGCTCTCAAGTAACTTATTGAATTTTGATGTCCGACTTCCAAGGAAGGACACAAAAGGTCTAAGAAACACAGCTCAAAGAAAAAGCAAAGGAGTGTCTGACCAAATGGCTCCAGGTGTTTTATCATCGCTCTGATGTTTGGAGGTTGTGGGTTCAGTCCTTGGTTAATTCCAACATCCAGATGAAAAGACTGAAGAACTCGAGGATTCTGAGCCTGACTGTCTCTGACCAAATAACCCGGTGTGTTAGAGGAAAGCTCGGATGTTCTCGGGATGAGGGTTCAGTCCTTATGAGACTCAGTGGATTTTCACATCCAACATACAAAGTGACGACTGAGAAGATACTGTGAGGAGTTCCCAGTGCCGTCAGTAGTTACCTGTAGATAATAAATATGCTATATGTAGTTATATTCTTATGTATTTATTATATTCACATGCAATTACCCTTTTGTCTGAAAAAGAAAGGAAATGAAAAAAGCAGTTCTACAATTATTTTATAAAAGAGTTTATTTAATAATGACTGAAACGACTCAAAGTAGTGGTTCACTTTTGGTTGGCCTCAGTCCTCCGCGGGTAAGGAAGGGAAGTGTGTGTTCTTGTGTGTGTGTGTTCTTGTGTGTGTGTGAGAGAGATTGTGTTATTGAATGTCTCAGATGAATAGCTTAATCGCTCTGCAGGGAGAGGGGTCAGAGCACCATGGATGAAATGAGAAACGACAGGCATGCGTGCACCTGAATATGTGTGTGGTGGTCAATGCAGATGTGATTACAAGGTGGTGTGAGAAGCTGAAGAGCAGCAGGTGACGGGCTGCGTAAACACGTGACGTCGTCTCTGATGTAGATTCACTGTAGGAATATTTAAAATATGAGCTAAATAATAAAACCAATATCTGATGTGTGAATGTGTTTTTTCTCAGAACCTGGACCTGTTCGTCATCTGAGCTTCACTGAAATCCTAGACACGTCCCTCAGAGTCAGCTGGGCCGAGCCCGAGGACAGGAACGGCATTATTATTGGTAAGAGCCAAGAGGCAATCAACGGTGACATCGCCCATCGGTTTGTGAGCTGCTTCATTGAAGCCTGGAGTTTGATTTCTTGTCTCGTGCCATCTTTGTTTTGTGGAACCAGAAGCATCCATATTTGGAAGAGCTGGAGGTTTGAGCTTTATCGTCTCTTGAGTGAGACCATAATCTTTTTTTTTGCAACCCCTGCTGGTCATTTGAGAGAATACAGACGTCCTCATTAGCTTCACTTTCCGGACCTGGCGTCAGCATCCATTTTTTTTAATATAGTCTATGGATGTGTCCCAAAACTGTAACTCTCACTCTGGGTGCAGGCAACATGGTGTGAAGGTAAAAAAAATGACGAAATCTGTCTGAAATCACAAATGGACTTCCTTTAAGCGATCACCCCACATTGTGAATACGTGTACGTGTGTGTGAGTAAGTGTCCGCGTGTTGACAGAGCAGGATTATGTCCAAACATTCATCAGGCACATGCACAACGAGCGCACAGTCGAACAGCACAAGGCTGCAGCACCTTTACAGTCAGCTTTCACACTCCGGAGTGGCAAGATTTGTATTAAATCAAGGTCACCTTGCACATTTACTCCTTTCTCCTCAACCTGCTTTTCATCCAGCACCTGGTGAGCATGGAGACAGATGCGGGACCATTCACTCTCTCCAGGGCGTTACACACAAGTGGCCGCACTCACACACGCACACACACACACACACACACGTTTGAAGGTGGTGGAGTGTGATGCATGACTGTGAAGATGCAAAGGGACAGACAGGGATTCGACTGTAGTTACCCACCCACACACTCTCCCTCCTTCTTGGCTCTGTACATCTCATTATGTGTGTGTGTATGTGTGTGTGTGTGTGTGTGTGAGTCTGCTCATGTCTATATACAACTTTATTACCCTTATTACCTTTATTATGAATACCTTTATCAACCCAGCGTGTGCTCTGCTCCCCGCAGGCTACGTGTTGTGGTGGGAAGTGTCTGATATAGAGTCGAGTCGCGAGGAACGCTCTCTCTCCAACTCCACCCTGCGGTACCAGCTGACCGGCCTCACCTCCACCACCGCATACTCACTACAGGTGGCGGCGCTCACTGCCGCAGGAAGGGGCGTGGTCACCTCCTCCACCATCTCCACCGGAGTCCCACCAGGTACAATAAATACGCACAAGTGAGCACAGTGGAGCTGACAGCGACACTAAAGAAAGATTTTCACATGTACCCCGCTGTGTACGTGTGTGCGTGCGGAGTAAATATGACTGATGAGCTCTTACGATGCCATTGTCTTTCCTCGGGCTGATAAGTGGCTTTAACTGTGCGTCCATGAATCATCACCCTCTCCACACACACACACACACACACACACACACACACACACACACACAGCATCTTAGACAGTGCTTTAGTGTGCAGTTTATTTGTGTATACTATGTGCACACTGCATGCAAGATGAGTTTGTATGACTGGACTAAGGCCAAGCTGCAATCATTATTAGTGATGATTAACTGCAAATAGCAAAGTGTGTGTGTGTGGGGGGGGATGATGGGAGAGAGAGAGAGCAAGAGACAATCAAAGAACACAACTGAGGACGAAAGAACTGATGGAGAAATATAATGAGGGAAGAACAGGGAGCACAAAGATATATGCAATCTTTGAAGAAAAGAAGACCAAAGACTGGACTGAGAGGAAGTGGAGGAGAATAGAATAGAAAAAAACTCCTGCAGCAGGATTTTTGTCGTAACATTTTCCGATTATTAATTTATAAATAAGAGCACAAAAAGTGAAAGAAAGATGGATACAGACACTTTTTAGATTCAGAGGTTATTCATTAATTCATGAAAGCAAAAGACTGAAGGAAAGACAGAGGGCTGAAGATTAGAAAAAAGGAGTAAAGAATGAGAGAGAGCTGGAGAGAGGGGAAAGAGAGAGAGAGAGCGAGAGAGATCCACTGAGCATAGATTCTTGTCTTGTTTATTTATTCATGTATTCATGGAGTAGGGAGAATTTTGTCATTCATCTGAGCAAGGCAGCTGATATCAACATTTCCACATTATAACCCTTACAAGTTTGCTGTATGCACTTACAGAGAAATGGTGGCTGATAGCTGTAATTTGTCTTTTGTTGCAGACATGTACTTGGCTGGATCCAGTTAAAAGTGTATTCCCTTGTTTCCATACTAACTGGACCCGGTCCAGTTATGTAGTTGCAATGAAAATCCCCTAGAGATATTCTACCAAACCGCCCTGACGTTCCCCGGTGAACCGATGTGTTACAAAACACAGCATTTGATTTACCTTCTTTGCAGATGCATGTATTCCGCCATGTTAAGCAAATGTGAAGTTTGTGAAGCTGCAGCAGAATTCAGCGGATCACAGCCGAGCACTTACACCGCACAGAGAGATACCGGGTATCACAGCGAGGAGAGGTGGTTGAACGGTGGCTCTGAAGAGAGGTCTGAGACAATTTAGAGCAAAGTGGATTATGATTATTTTCGATTATGTGAATTGCATTAAGAGAAACAAGCCGTTGTTAATTCGTTGGGACTTGACGGTTAAAAAAGAAAAAATTAAAAAAGACAGAGAGCAAGAGCAAATTCAGAATTTCAGCTTCCGTCTCCCGAGCTGTCGTCACCTGTGGCTTCAGCAGAACATTTAGCTCTGATTGAAGTGTTCAGACTAAACTTAGTTACGTCCTCAGAGGAGGTTAGGTTTTACCCCTGTTGGTTTTTTAAACAAGATTATGCACAAAAAAAAACTACTTGGTGGAGAAATGTATTAAATGTTTTCGGTGTGGATCTGGATCAGGGAGCAGATCCATGAATTACGTGACATCCTCCTCAGGTTCAGGTTCAGTGCAGGTTTCAGTGTGAATGTGACAGAAACAGCAACTCAAACAGGAAACAAGTGCAAAGTAACAAACCTGCTCATCATCAAGGATTCTATGCTGAGGACATGTTCTCTGCGTTTAAGATGAATTAATTGAAACTCGATTGTTGTGCTTTCGAGAGTGCAGCATTTTCCAGCTGTGAAAGACAGTAACTGTCTAGTTATTTTTAATTAATCCTCACAAAAATAAAACAATTTTACTCATAGATTCTTTGTGGGAGGACGGCAAATTACAAGCTCATTAGATTTTGATGATGAGGATAAACAGTATGTCAGCTGTGTTTTGTTTTTGCTTCTTGTAAGTTTTGGACTGTAGTGATCAGGTCTACGTATTGATTGATCAGACTGACACCAAGGATCCCCCTAAATTCAATCTGCACCAAATTGCACACACTCATAATTATCAGCCCTGATTTTTCTTTTCATTAAGATTCATGAATTATTCCCGAGGGGGGAAAAAAACGCAATGTTTCACGGAAACTCAGTCGGTAATTGTATGTAATCCTGCTGACAGCAAAATAATAACATAACCTCTCGTCTGTTCTCGATTGTCCTCCGCTTCTCGTCACTTCCTCGTCGCCCGGCCGCGGTATCCAGGCGTCCACGACTGTTCAGCAACATTACCCGGGTCCTGTCACTCATTATTCCCACAGAGATAGAACAATGTTGGAATAATAATGGGTCAGACATAATTTATGAGCCTTGCAGCCCACTCAGACATTTATTGGCCTTAAATGGACTTTAGTGAACTGTGCATTTAATTTACCTCTCGCCTCCACTGGTGTACAGATTTATCTCAGTGTATTGTATTGCCAACCTCAGAAATATGAAATGAATTGCCGTCATCCTCTCAGAGAGAGAGAGAGAGAGAGATACAGCTGTAGCACAAGAGCCTGCGCTTTACTATAATTAACGTCTTTTTTCTGACCAATCTTTAATTTTTCTTTATAATAACCAAGCATGGTTAAAAAAAACGTATTGTATTAGCTCACCCCGACTTAAAATCTTTTTTGTCATTAATGGTGACGTGCATCTCCTCGTTTTCTCTTCTCTTGTTATCGTGTTAATTATAAACCATGTTTCACAGTTTTGGCATTTTATTTATCCATTCATGGAAAAATCTCAAAACAGTTTTGTTCACTTTTTTTTTTATCCATTTATTCAAAATAATTCACTGCACTATATAAAAAAAAAACCACTGGTCTTTATATACATTCCAATTTTACCTTGTTCCTGCAGCACCAGCAACCAGAGGTGGTTCTTATTTCAAAGAAAGTGTAACTTACTATTGAAACATCAATAATGCAGTGCAGACTATTTTTCTTTTCATAAATAACATTGTTGTGGGAGCAACAATCCCACAGATTTAGGACCGTAAATATTTTATATACCCGTAAAAAATATGACGGTGACCTGCCGCTGTCGGCTGCACTGGCAAAACTCTCAAGGGATTTTCTTTTTCTGTTGCTGTAGCTTTGAGTGAAGAAGTATTCTCTCTGTTTTCTGTCTCTAGAACTTCCTGGAGCTCCGTCCAACTTAGTCATCTCCAACATCAGCCCTCGCACGGCAACACTTCGCTTCCGCCCCGGTCCTGACGGCAAGACGGCGATATCTCGATGGATTGTCGAAGGACAGGTGCGTGTGTGAGACCTGCGATTAACATCCGCCCTGAGAGATCCGATCGCAAGTGGATCTCTGGACGGATGTGTGTACCAGGTCAGAACAGGGCCTTAGTGTTATATCTCTCTTTAACAGGTAGTGAAGGAGGATGGAAAAGGGGAAGCGTGGGGAGTCGTCTACCAGAAAGACAACCAGCCGGATGCAGACACACTGGAGATTCCCGACCTCGCTCCGTTCACTCAGTACAGGTGAGCGGCAAACACGCGTCACCTGCGCGAGAACACGGTGAAGTGATGCGACCCGCGCACTCACACCCAGCAGTTCCTGCAGCATTGCTCAACTCAGGTGAAGTTAGATAAATCACACAGACACACCGGGAGACAGTTCCATCTGAGACTTTTCTATTTGTCAGCACCTTCACTGCTGCTGCATGCAGATCCTCCCCCCCCCCCCCATCTTAAATAGCTGAAAGGAAGGAGGGAAGGAGGGGGGGAGGAAAGGCGATGAGAAAGCAGGAAGGGCAGCAGAGAGCATTAAAGAGGAGGAGGAGGAGGAGGAGGAGGAGAGAGGAGTGTCTGTAATCCCTGCTCAAGGGCCATGGGGAGCCGGCAGTTTGTAAATGTGATCTATCCCCACTCCGAACGGCTTCCTCCTCATTCTCTCTCTCCCCCTCTCTATCCATATGTCTATCTCTCTGCTGTATTTATCAGTCTATCTGTCTATCTCTGCCTCCTGCTCTTTGTATCTCTGTCTTCATCTGAAATGGGATTGCGGTTCGTGTGTGTGTGTGTGTGTACACTTTGTGCACTCACAGGGATTATGTTGTCACAGGCGACACCATTGGGACATTAGATGAAGTGAGGCACTTGTCTGTGCGTCTTATCCCTCGCTTTAAGTTCCTCTTTACACCCTGCTCTCTATCTCCCAACTCAGGGACGGGGAGTCGTAGATGTGGTCTCTCACGCGCGCTCTGCACGTCCGCACACATTGTCACTCACACCCACACCGAAGCACTGACGCATTTAGATCTAACAGAAGTAACAATCGCTCCCTCGCGGCTGAATGTGTGTGTGTGTGTCAACAGGTTACGGCCCTTTTTTCTGACTGATGTTCGGATTAATTCAACTCAACAATAGAGTTTCACCTGCAGGATGCCATAGAGTAAAAATATATATTTTTTAATGCTCTGAAATGAATAACACAAATGATCTGACTAGAAATAAAACCAAATACTCAAAACTAGTCTTTCTTTGCTATTAGTGTGACGTCTGCTTGTCTGGTTGACCTGTTGTACTTTGACTGCCTCTATCACTGTGTGTGTAAGCTGTGCAGTATTTTTATGACGAGCAGGTGACTCCTCAGTCTGCATGATTCATGGACTCAGGTTGGAAACTTTACCCCAATCTCCGACTTGAGGCCCATTTGTTATGAGATGAAACAAAATGTTGTCTGAAACGTAAACGATAACTCTGGTGATATAAACTCCACGTTGAAACTCGGTAGACTTTTCTGAATGAACGTGAAAATGTCATTTACCTGCAAATTTATCTTATTATCACAACATTTATCATCCTTGTCTTTTGAAGCGGAGACTTTTAAACTGCTTTATGTTGTGACTTTATATTTTTTCGATCTCTGTGACATTATCAGAGTCGTTATTTCTCTGTGGAACAGTGAACATTATACAACTGTTTCCAGGGGGGTGGTCCTCCTCCTGACAAACTAACTAAACTTTAGCTTGTTTTGGTTTTTTCTTCCTCTGCAGGTTCAGGATGCGTCAGGTGAACATTGTGGGAGCCAGTCCCATGAGCGCCCCCTCCAGGCTGATTCAGACCTTGCAGGCAGCACCTGACACGCACCCCTCCAACCTCACCCTGCTGTCTGCTACACAGTCCAGTCTGCGCTTCAGCTGGATGGTACACACACACACACACACACACACACACACACACACACTTCACTCTCCAACTGTAAAACCTTGCTCTTCGCCCCGTTACACTTCTTCAAACAGTGCTAATTTGACTGAAGGGGATTTTCTTTTGTGTTCCTTCGCTCTGCGTCTCCGTGCGCCTGCTCTCTGTGTGCGTAGGTGCGTGCACGTGTGCTCACCAGCAGCAGGACTGAACAGCTTGAGTGGATGACAGCCTATAATCAGTGTCTCTCCTGGTTATCAGTGCTAAAACTAATCTGTCACATTCCCCATTCACCCTGCGGACTGCTTGCAGCACAAACTGCAATATAATTTTCTCCTCACTGTCTTTTCTTTTTTGCTCTTGTTCCTGCCCTCCGTCCGCCTCGCCCCCCCTTCTCCTCTTCTATTATAACATAAATGGAGGGCAGAGTATTTTCCATTTAAGAGCTGGAATGAGAAAAAGAGCCTGTCAAATCAGACACAGACACTGAGGCGCTACGGGCTACCTATGCAGCATGCTAATAGGATTTTACCTGCGTGTTAGCGCCCAGCCTGAGCTACAGCATGCTAGGTTTGCTGCTGTAGTGGAACCATCACAATGGTTTTAGCTAAGGCTATTATTCTAAGCTGCATATTAAGGGTAATAAAGCTAATGTGACATTCTGTATTACGGCTCCTAAATGCTAAGCTGAGCTAAATCACTGGGGTATTTAAAATGACTGGATGTCTCACGTCCTTATCTGTTGCACAGCACAGAGCAACCGCTGTACATTGTTGGTTAAGATCTAATAATGTGGATTTATACACCGTGAGCAAACTAAACGTCCTGCTTAAATGATTGTAGGGCGCTGAATTGAGGTGACTGTGGCTGTAATGCATAATGACATGGTGGGTCACAGGCAGAGACGATGAGGTGACAGTAGGAGGGGAGGGGGTGACAGGAAATGAGAGTGGAAGCACGTTAAAGAGGATGACAGCGGGTGAATAAGACGGGGAGAAGCTGGCGAGAGAAGGAGCGGGAGATGGGATGTCAGAGAGGAGAACGTTTTTAGGGTGTACTTCAAAGTTTGACGCGTCAGATAAATAACAATATTCTGGCTCTTCTTTTGATTCATTTGCAGAAGTAAACTTTCGTTTTACAACATGTATTCACAATGATCTACACGCACAGATCCTCTCGTCTCCGGTGTGGCTGCCTCTCCGCCCCTCTCCCTGTTAAAAGCGAGTTCTTGTCTCTCCACTGTCGCCAGGCCCGTTCTCTGTTGTGGGAACTGTTTGGTTTCTCGATATACAGATAAAACAAGAGGATGCACTTTATTCTAATCTGCTCTTTTTCCTCCCACCTCGTCTTTACTCTCCAGCCTCTTCCTGAGTCTGAGTACAACAGCAGCCCAGAGACTGTGGGCTACCGGCTGCGCGTGTGGAGGACGGACGGGCAGGGGGAGGACAGAATGGACGATGCGGAGGGAGCAGGGGAGACTGCTGAGGCCACAATAGAGGGCTTGAATCCCTGGACCCAGTACCAGGTTCAGATACAGGCCTACAACTCCATAGGACCTGGACCCTGGAGTAACACCATCGCTGCACAGACAGCAGAATCTGGTACGAACATTCACTCCTGTTCAAAGATAAGATTGGTGGAGGGAGGGAGGAGAACAGGGAGGAGAAGATGGAGATGGTTTAGATAAAATCAAAGATTGGTTTAGAGAGCAAGTAGCAATGAGCTTTCTCTCTTTCTCTCTGTGTGTGTGTGTGTTCTCTAGTTCCATCTGGATCTCCGAGGAATGTTAGTGCTGAGGCAGTGAGTTCCACCCAGATCCTACTCAAATGGTCTCCTCTCCCTCGGGCTCAGAAAAATGGAGTCATACTTGGATATAAGGTGTTTAAAACTCTGCAACACACACACATGCACGCACCCACACACACAACCCCATTCCATCATCAGTCCATTAACACTTCCACCAACTCCATCACACACACACACACACACTGACATGGACACACAAATGTCTGATATAGCACAAATATGATGTAACATCCTGTAACTGCTGCAGTTTTATGTTTCTTCCTTTATAAGCATCCGGGGGGGTAAAGGAGTAGGGGGATAGGGGGTGGGGGTCATGCAGATGCACAAGGCTTTAATGTTTAATACTCTTTCATAAAACAGCTTGTCTCATGTTGTAGTAGAAACAATGGCTGGATTACACATTTCAGAATAAAAGAGAATAATCCATAAAGCCTGCTGGCTTTGGAGGGCGTTTTGTTTTTTAAATTCTTGAGCAGAAGTTTCGGCAGGATAGTGTGAAGTGTTGAGCATACGTACATACACGAGTTGAATTTGCTCCTGCATCAGTATCCAAGTCCAGACTTGCTTACGAATGTACCCGCATCCGCCACATCACAGCTGATCCTTTTATTTCCATACTGAAGTTGGAGGATTGAGTTTTGCTGAACCAGCCGACAGTGACGAAATTGACATTCTCTGACGCGCGGGCTTCTAAGAAATAAACTGGATTCATACAGTAGATGGTGAAGTGAAAGGTGCACTCATTTTTGCCTGAGTGCACCACTTACTGGCAGTCACACCCCTTTCTTTTACTCCCAGTGTAGTTCCACTTGCTTTCTGCCAGCTCCCACGCACCCCCCCCCCCCAGGGATTTATTATAATGTACTCCACTTCTCTGTTTGATTTTAAAATAAAGAGAAGACAAGTACCCGTTGTCTGTATTTTTGCAATGTTGCTTTGCCCGTTCAGCGGTGCATATGTAGCCCCCTCGACATCTTAAGAAAGGAAGATTTAATAAAGAGAAAACCTCATGCAAAATATTTTTTCCCGAACATAAAAGTGGCATTGAGTACAGCACTTAATCGCCACTCAAACAGAACCCAGCAGAACAAAAGCCTTAAAGGGTGAGGGGGGGGGGGGTTTATCCTCAATTTGGTCGTCTTCTCGATAAATTCATACAACAGAGGAAAACAGGCGATTAAAAACCAGCAGCATCCGGTATTTAAAAAAAATGCAAAATTCAGGTCACAGGATCCACCTTCCCCCGAAGCACATCACACTCCCCATCTGTGTGTTTTCTCACTGCCTTTCTGAGGAACATGCTGAGTTACATGCCAACCATGTTAATAGATCTTCAGCACCTTCCGTCCCCTCGAAGATGTTGTTCCCCTTCCTCCTGCCTCCTCGTCATACGACTATTTCTCTTCTTAGACACTTAAGAGCTGACATTTTTTTTTTCCCTTCAGAGTGATTTGGAGCGGGGCAGCGAGTTCTTGAACATGAAAAACACAGAGAGAGAATGGACACGAAAGAACAGTTCTTGACACACATTCAAATTGGATCCCGGTGCCGGTGGAAGTACGGCGTGTGCTGTATTTTTAAATGTGGGCGCTGGAGATTCTTAATGGATGTTTCATTTAAAATGTGGTAATATTCTGTATTTTCCCCCGATTTTCTGCAAATCCCATGAAAAGACCAAAACTAAGTCTTCTCTTGCCAAATCTGATATCACCGGTTCCTCCGTGCCTCCAACCTCCACTGTTGTCAAAAATACATCAGTGAGCCACACCATCGCTCCGTCTGACATGTTCCTTCATAATGTAAAACCCTCTGAGGCATGTGTGTGACTCGAACACGATGAACATGGCCCCTGTGTTGAATCAGTTCCACATGCACCTCTCCAGTGCTATAAATACTTGGCTGCAGCTAAAATTCTTTTCAACCAACACACGTTTTTATTAATGTTTAAGAGACATTTTCCAAAATCACCACGGTGTCCAGAGGATTTAATACGTTTCCTCCTTCATTTTGAAATAACAGAAACTTAATGTTTGGTTGTGTTTAAATCTATAACAACTGATTTTGGAGGTTTGATGTCAGGAACACTGACATTCTGACACCTTATAAAATTGATTGACGAGTAGAAAAATGGGGAGACGCTTAAGAGCCAGTTCAGGGAGTTAACTGGAGCTGCCCTGCTCTACTCATGTGACCTCTCTCCACAATCCTCCATCGTACGCACCCTCCCAGTGTGGGGGTCTATTTAAGCTGCAAATATTTCCTATCCCTCCCTTCGCTTGTCAATGCCTGCGCTGCCCTGTGTCAGCATTGCTGCCTGTCGATTTAATATAATATAATGATATTTGCTCCTCACTTCCCATTATCTCCTACAATCAAATCTCTGAGAGGGATTAGGTCGTAGCCTAGACGCCAAACTTTAAGGATGTTCTGCTGCTGTAATAAACACTTCAAATGGGAGTTAACTGACTGAAATGGTATTTACACATCCAGCAAGGAGCAACATTCATTTGTACTCATGTACCTGCCTATCCTGGGAATATGAGTCCATTACTAGCTCTCCTTTCAGCTCTGTTTCTGGCATCTTTAGCTGCTGAATGCTCCATTAAATCCATCCGTCTGCTGTGAGGACGTTTGCAACCAGTAGGTTTTTAAAGACACCTACCTGTTAGATCTTTGCTGTACAAAAGCCGCATTATATACACGCCGAGAGTCAACCAATACAGTGAGGTTACACTGATATTAAAGAAAATAATGGACTGAAAAGTTGAAATACAGCTTCCTTCACCTTTGGGAACCGGTGAACGGTGGATGACCCGCTCTGTTTGATGTTTGTTGTGCCGGGCGGTGGACTTTTTGAGCTTTTTCACTCCTGCCTCCTTGGTCCGAAAAACACACTGCGAGCTTCCAGACTGAACCGAAGCAGGAGAATCATGTAACGAAAGAGTGGGCTGAGAAATGAAACAAAGCTGCGCACAGCTTTGGGGAACCGTGGAGATAATTGTCTGTGGGTTCATCCCTACAAGTGACCTCTCCCGCGTCCAAGGAGCGTTGCAAGCCATTGTTAGTGTTGTAGCAGCTTTAAAGATGTATGTCTTAGTTGGAAACAAACAGACTCGGGGATGAGAGGCAGAGTAAGACGCTCAATTTACTGAGAGACTAACTCACTGCTGGTTCTGTCCTCAATTTGTTGACAATAAAGTATTAGATATCAGAAAAAGGAATCCGTCGAAAGACACCAGAGTAATTATAAAACATCACAAGCAGTGTTTAAAGAGCTGACGGAGAGGACGTGACATATTTGTCCAGTTTTTATCTATATCTGTGATTGTGTGTAACTCGTGTGTGTGTCTGTGTTCAGGTGTTCTACAGCGAGAAGGACTCTGACGTCCCCCCTGGTGTTCAGGCGACAGAAGGCGAAGGCAACGTGTCGCTGCTCCTCAGGCTTCTCCAGCGATACACGGTGTACGTGCTGCAGGTTCTGGCCTACACACAGATCGGCGACGGCCCTCTCAGCAACCCCATACTGCTCCGAACCAAAGAAGACGGTAGGATCTCTCTCCGTGTGTCCCGCCGTGATCACTGACCTTTCTGTTCAGCGGTTTTCTTCAACTGCTTTCGCCTCCGTCTCACCTCCATAGCTGTTTTTCACCTCTTTACACCTCAGCTGTCAGCGCCGCCCGTCTCCCCCACCACTGCACTCGTCATCCACCGGGTTCAGTTCACCCGTCAGACCCCCTCCCCGGTCTAAACTCGGAGAACACATTGTGCAGGCGCTTGTGCGTACTTGTGTTTGCCATGTGTGTAGCTCTCCCCTCAGATCTCTCGCAGAGATGTGAAAACCATGGCAGACTTTTCAGGATGCCAGCGACCCAGTCTGATTTTTCAGAATAATACAACACAAGCGCACTCGCACACGTGCAAACAGAGAGACTCTCATACACACACTCATCCTCTATCAAACAGTGTCACGTCTGAAAAGATTTTCTCATTTCAGGATGAAACAAGAATGGGAAAGTCAATTCCCGGCAATGTATAATGAACCTCCATCCTGTCTGTCAGTCACACACATACACATACTGTACATACACACCCGCGCACACACACACATACACTCAGGTTGTATTTGGTGGTGTGGAACATGTGCTTTTATCAGGAACATAGACGGAGTCGGTGTGAGCTTGAGAGAAAATTACATTTTCTATTTTGTGTCTTTTAGAGGTTCCTCTTAAAACAGACTGTGTGTGTGTGTGTGTGTGTGCGTGTGTGTGTGTGCGTGTGCACTGACAAAATGAAGTGATGTGTATATAATGTTGATCATAAATGAGCCTTTAGATTATTAACTGTCGGTGCATAGCGTCAGATGTTGTCTTCCTCTGTACCGCGTTGACGTTTGGTTCTTTTGTGCTTCAGCTTCTCTCTGTAGATATTATTAGAGTTTAACTCTCCTGCCAACTCCCGTCTCTAATTTTCTCTCCAGTCCCAGGTCCCCCTGTCAGGATGGTGTTTCCAGAGGTTCGGTTGTCATCAGTTAGGGTGGTTTGGCAGCCGCCCACAAACCCCAACGGCATCATATTAGGTATAAACACACACACACACACACACACACACACACACACAAAAAGCAGATATTTGATAACAACATTCTAATCATAATCAAAAGTTTTATGCTTGTAGTGACAATAGATTTATTTTCAATTGCTGAAGGAAAGAGCTGGGCTTACAGAGGGAATGAGTTAGCAGTTTTAAATGTGTGAACACACACACACACACACACACACACACACACACACTGCTGAGATCTTTCAAGGGAAGGAAGGAAGTAAGAGCCGTAAAATGGAAAAGAGCTGATTCTGTTTTTAGCTTTCAAACAGGGGTCAGCTCTTTCTACCTTCCACTTCACTGCCAAGGTTTGTTGGTATTTATGTACATGTTTGTGTGTGTGTGTGTGTGTGTGTGTGTGTGTGTGTGTGTGTGTGTGTGTGTGTTTGTGTGTGTCAGTCATCAGGCTTGTACCTGGGAAAAAGACCATTATAGTTGCTGGAGCAAGACTCCTTTCCTAATGCATACGTAAACACATATATAAGCTCACACTGAGTTTCACACACACACATTACTTGTTTCTGAAACGAAAAATCACGGCGCGCAGAGTGAATCTGAAAGAACAGATAAATAAAGAAGAAGAAGAAGAAGAAGAAATGCAAGCACGAGGCGTCGAAAGAGAGAGAACAGAAGGAAAAACACGGCAGAGAGGAGATGTATGGAGGTGAGGGGAGGGACAGTGTGTGTGTGTGTGTGTGTGTGTGTGTGTGTGTGTGTGTGTGTGTGTGTGTGTGTGTGTGGCACATAGGGGGAGAGCAGAGTGGTATTTGTCCTCTCAGTGGGTGAGGGAGTCGAGCAGGACAGTGTGAGTGATGTGTGACTGTATTGTAAGAGGGAGGACATTTAGTGCGACACCACTCTGTGACAGAAGGATGAGTGGGAGGGCAAATCTCTCTCGATCACAGGGACACACACAAACGGCCAGTCCTGCTGTGTCCTTGCTGTGTGTCTGTGTGTGTGTGTGTGTGTGTCTGTGTGTGTGTGTTCATGCAGATACAAATAACTGTGCTGTACCGGTTTCTCTAGTGCTCATGACTGCCTCATTTCTCCTTGGGATCTCAACCCATGGGGGACTGACACAGAAAGTGGACAGAGGAGAAGCACGACCTCAGACGCTGCACAATCTAATTTAGCAGGAGGCAGCGAAGCATTTGTGCTTTCACATGACTCCTATATGAATATGATAAAAACCTTATGAGCACAAACATCCCAACGGCAAACTGACACTTTGTCCCATTTCCTTACCACATATTAATTATAATTACAATCTGAGCATGTAATGTGTTTTAATACATTAAAGCCATAAAATTAAATACTCAGAGCAGTCAGTATGCATATGTAAAACTACTTAATTGGTTTTAGTTCTTAATTTAAAAAAAAAAGCCATGTCATAACCAATTTAACACAAGCGTTTTGAAGAACACACACACACACACCAACTTCATCTCTCAAACATCTCTGCTTTTACTTTGTGTGAAGCTGCGTTCAGTTTGACTCTGCCATGTTTAATAACTGAAGAGTGTATACTCCGCTATAACATTCTCTATATATCATGTACTGTTTTAAAAAAACCATAGTAATGATGGAGGTATTTGTTGGTTACATCTACAACAGCAGCACCGCTCATTCTTTTCAATAGCTTGTGCTGCACAAGGTTGTTTTTTTTTGCTGCAACAAGCAAAGTGCTGTGACAAACCTTTGTGCATTCAATCGAAATGAAGCATCTGCCAGGCACAGAATGCACAAAGCTGCTTGCCGTCTCTGATTAGACACGTGAAATATAGGAAAATATCAGCCCAGCTAACGTGACCAACCGGACCCGAACTTCATTTTAAGATGCTGTCTGAACCCAGCGCGGCAGGTCCTGACAGGCTCGGGCCGATTATCAACACAAAGGAGTCGATCCAGAGTTCCACGAATCATATGATTTCAATACAGGTAACTTGTGGAAAAAGTTTACAAACCAAAAAATAGAAGAAAACACCTATTATGAGAACCATGGGACACATTTTTATCTGAATGGCCTTAACACACAGGGATCCAAAAAGCTGTTTCAACACTATATTTAATCAGGGATGGATGGATGATTATTTTCTATAAACAGGAAAAAAGAGAAACGGTTACAAATTAAAACAGTGGCAGTAAATACCGGAGTTAATTAGTGAAGCAGATAAAATCAACACTCGAATTAATCCATCCGCAATCCTACTATTTAGTACATCTTCAGGGTTTTCAGATAAATATCTTATATAGATGTAATATAAGACAATCCATTAAAACAAGCCACGAAATAAAAAAACACATCAATCACGATCTTAAGAGGGAAAAGAGATAATTTTAACGTTCAGCGTTCAGTCACAGCTTGGAGAGAAAGAGCTGACAAGTCAAAAGGAGATGATGTATATAACCTTGTCCGATAGAGCCTTAGTGGAGTTTTATCCTCGGATCCAATGGTAACGCTGCACACTGGGACACGAGTTAACACAATATACAATTTGTAGTGTTGAAATGGGAGTTGAGGGATGAGAAGAGTCAGCACATTGTGACCTGCGGTTGCTGCCCAAGGTTTTTATTTATAAGCTTTCAGCTCAGAATTATATAAAAGTAAAAGCGCGGGACAAAGAATTCACTACTGCTACTTTCAAGTGGCTTAGGTGGTGGCGTTCCTGTAAGACTCAAATCAATCCTGACAGGACCAAAAGAAAAAGAAAACACGAGGACACACATTTTGAAGAATCAGTATGAAATACATGTTGAATGGATGGAGATGGCCTTTCCCTGACACGACACAGTCACTTTGTAATGGAGATTTAGCCTCATGTGTCTGATAGCGGCGACGTGCTAATGATATTCAGTTCAGAACATAATGAAGTGCTCTGACCCAATTGTTCAGATGCAAGAGGATTTGTAGTGTAGCTGTTATCCAATAATCTTCCACACGCCGCTGCGTGCACATTAACATAGACTCAGACTATCTGATGAGATTATCAACCACACAACCAGATTATGTTCCTCTGAGCAGATTATCATCCCGACAATTTGGGGATGATAAAATCCACACGCTTGTTTTTTTTTTTTTGTGTGTGTGACTTCATGGAAGTATGATTGTGCGTGTTGGGTGTACAATACAATCTTCACGTTGGGGTTTTTTTGTGAGTGGCCAGTGGCCTGTGGAAAGCTCGGCCTGGGATCAGTGGATTCACGGTGTGTATGTGTTAAAGCGTGGTTGTGTTATTACATGGCCTGCTGCACATGAGACGGAGAAACAGACATAAGCCGCGTACGCCATGGGTCACAGCCAAGGGGACAGAAGACGGGATGTATGATTAAATAATGTGTGTATAGGGGGAATGTCCACATGTGAGTGTATGTGAGTTAAATGTCAAAATCTGGGCTTTTCTCTATGTTGTACACATAAAACACAGTTTTTCATTTTAGGTAGTTTCTTATATTATTTTTTTATTATGTAATCTGATTATATAAAAAACCAGGTGGCTCCTGGTTCCAGTGCGTGCGTGCGTGCATCACTGGGACTTTGCTTCCGTGGCTCTATTCCCCCCCGATCAGACTAATTACTACCGAATGCACAACTTTCATATCTGGGATATTTTAGCTTTATTTCTAAATAGCGGGAGGAGCTGGAGACGCCTCATTCATCTTTACGTGCAGTCTACGGTGGAGACGTGTAAATGAACAGTGTTGTTCGTTTTATAGTGGAAATGTGATTGCGTGCTTTGGCGTCGTGTAGCGGTGTTTTCAGACCCTCTGCTGTCTCATGTTGTTCCGCCCTTTGATTCCTGTGGGCTCCTTGATCGAAAGTAGGCCACAAAAACACACAGAATCATATTCACACTCCAAAATCTCTGTCTTCCTCCGTCTTTACTCCTTCTGTCCCTCACCAGGCTACCAGATCTCCTACTGCCTCGACAGCAGGGAGCCTCTGCGCTGGACCACAGTGGAGGTGGGCTCCAACGCTCGCCAGTTCACCGTCACCGGACTCTCCTCGGAGCAGACCTACGTGTTCCGACTCACTGCTCGCACCGCAGTGGGCTGGGGCAAAGAACAGGAGGCCCTGGTTGTTACCACCGAACGTAGAGGTAAAGGACACACACGTGCATTTACATCGACTCTTACATTTACTCATTAGAACTGAGGTTCCACCCTGAATCTTCAGGACAGTATAGACCCTGAAGTGAGAACTAGGTGGTAAATCTGTTCAATAAGACAACGTTTAGGAGATCAGGTAAAGAGGGGCCCAGTAAGCGCTTGTCAGACGTGTCATGGAGTTAGAAGTGTGAAGAGAGGAGGTGCTCTCAGAGGAGAAGAGTCTTCAAGAGGTAAGAGAGAAGATGGACTATCCTGCTCCGATAGCATCTGGTCTCTTGTTCCACCGTCAGAGAACAAACAAGAACAGTCTGGAATGCGATCGCCTCGTGTGCAGGGATGGAAATGTCAGCCAACGTTCCTCGGAGGAGCGCAGTGGCCGAGACGGAGCACAGGCCCGTATGATGGAGTTCCAGTAGACGAGTGCAGACCCAGAAGTCTCTGCAGACAAACATTAGTGACTTGAACTGTGAAAGTCAGCACACACTTTAGCAGAACTCACGCTCCTATTAAAAAAAAAAGTCCTGAACGTACCTCAAGCCAAGAATTTATAGAAATCTAATTTGAACAGTGTTAGTACGGTGTGACAGAAAACATTGCGATGATGTGAGTAATTCATCAAGGCAACATATTCATCAATCATCCTTTTGAAGAGAAGTGATATTCTCAGCTTTGCCTCGAGTCTCACTGCCGGTATGTTTAACTATAGCATCTTCCTTAGGCTAATGGCAAATTGTTATGAAGTAACTAAAAACGAACTTTCACGAGTGACACCAACGCGAAGACAGTTTTTCTCTGTTTTAATTACATTAGAAACTTTTCTCCCGTGCTTCAGTTTCCGGAGCGCAAGTTATTTTTAATACGGATTAAAAGCAGAGAGATTTGTTTTCACAGAGAGATTTTTTAATTCATGACAAAGCTTTTCTAAGCGTCAAAGTTACGTCTTTTTAAAACAATATTTTGCAATATATAAAAAATAAAAAAAAACAGTAATACATTCCATCGGCAACACACTCAACCCCAGAATGCTCCTGACGGCTGTGCACACGTAAGATGCACGACTGATAGACAAAGCCCTCGAAGCAGAGGAGCTGTGTGAATGTGTGAGTAAGTTGGTGATTGTCAGCTGTACTGTGAAGGGCTTTGTTGGGACAATGGTAGGAAGTGAGACATGTCGTCCATCTTCATTTGCGGCGTATGGATTGTACCAAACGGTAAAGTGGTTGATGGCATTTCTAGTTACGTCAGTCCCTCTCTCTCTCTCTCTCTTCAAGATGAATGAACACAGGCACAGAAACAGTGTGATTAAATTCTGAAACTGAATTAAATCACACAATAATGGAACCAGTGTAACAAGTGTCTTTGTTTTCTATTTATAAAAAAGATTCTACATTACTGCATAATTTAACTAGAATAATGGGGTGTGAGCTCGGAGGCTTTGAGTAATGACGAGTAAAATTTGTTTTCTTCATCCAGCCTTTACAGAAGACTGTTATAGTGTAATCATGGTTAGAAGAAAAAAAAAATGGGTTTGCTGTTACTTACAGTGTGGGAAGGGTGCAGTGAAGTCAAGTTTTTGCATTTCATATTTTTTACGATCTCCACTTAGAGGAGTAATGAGTCGTGGTCTTTGTGAAATCCTCGCACAGATAAAGTTAAGACAAAGAAACGCCAACAGCTCGGACAGATCATCTCTGATTCAACAAGTAGTTAGTGGATGAATGTGCGGAACCCGTTTGTGCTCGGCGCCAAATATTGGCTCAAAATAAGATGTGTGACCTTTTCCACGCGGGGGACATTGTACAAAGAGAACAAGAGGAAATGACATTTAACATCTCCAGTGGATTTAACAGAGCTGCACGGCAACAAATGTAGATATTGAAATCACCAGGTATTAATTCTGCTGGGGCATAACAACTTTCTGGAGTATCTGTGTAACAGTTAAAAAGCCGGGGCGGCTCAGTCGGGTTTGTTTTATCGTGAGCGAGTTTTACTCTTCAGAACAAAATGTTGTTGTATTCATTGTGTTTATGACTTTTACTAAACAGACTCAAATTAACGGACTTGTGGAGTGAAACAGAGCCTCGTCTTTAAGGCTTATCTCACTAACTCCTACAATAACAAGAACTGTGATACAGAACAGCAGCAGCAGCAGAACAGTGATACAAACAGAGATAGAGGAGACGGAGCAGCGCCTGCTTACTTTTGTACATTTCCTCCCAGTTGATGGACAGAGACGACGATCGGCTCTTTATAGAGACTTCATTTTAAAAGAAGTTAAATTCGATTAAGTTATTCAGTTCTTTATTTCTTCAATTTGAAAACCAATTAAAACGAATCTAGTTTTTATCCTCCTCAGATACTGAGGTTGTGATCTCATCTCGGAGTATTTTTAGAGCCATTCTTTTACATAACACAACAACAGGTCGACGTGTGGACCAGGTAATACATGTGATTTTATTTAAACCGCACAAAATGCTATTTGACTGTATTGTGACACGAGGAGATTGGAAACACTGATGGTTACGTCAACAGAGGGAACAGCAGGAATCACACTGTTAAAATAGATGTTTCATGATTTCACTGACATCAGGTGAGTTGTTGGGTTGTAGACCGTGGTAGGTAATTGTTGTTTGAACCAATAAGTGTTTTTGTTGCCAGGGTGATGATTCTCTGTGCACTACTACGCACCACTACTGAGTGTTCCCATTATAGGGACTCTTGATTTGATGTTAATCTAAAAATATTGATTATAGTCACTGTAAAGAAACGGATAATAGCCTGGCCTTCACGTTTCCACGCACAGCGTTGTTTCTCCTGGGACTTGTTTTTAATCCATTTTTCATTTTCCTTAAAATTAAATGCAAAACAAAATTCATTTCACAAATCTGATGTTGAGGTTTTTAACTCCGGAGATAAGAAGAATCGTCCCATGAAAGTAAGAGATGACTTTTCATTGTCACTTCTAAAGTAACAGTGGTTCTAGTGTCTCAATAGACCACCAGAGGAATAACTTTATTTTTTTTTTTTTGGAACCTTAGAAACACGTTGTCCCTGATCTCTTTGTCCAATTTTTTCTGTCAGCCAATATGTCTAGTAAAGCATTGAAATGCTACAAAAGTCCTTATAATAAATCGTGACAGGGAATTTTTATGAAAAACTGGAATCATGATGTCTGATATTCTACTCAGAGCTCTCAGTGTGTGTAGTGCATTTTAATTGGATCAGATATCGTGACATCGGCAGCATCATTATCAGGATTTCTTTAGAAAAGAATTCAGTGGTTCCCTGTTCCACTTCAGTAACATAATGGCCCATTCTCGCTGTGAGATAGACAGAATAGCCTAATAGAGATTTCTTTCTGATGATGGTGAAGAGACCAACTTAATCCCTAGAAAGAGAAAATTGGTTTTCTGAGTGGGCGTGTGGGTGTGTATGTGTGTGAGGCAGCATTAACGTGCTGCATTTATTATGGACAAAACTCTGATTCCCTCCAGAGATATTTGTCTAATCAGGTGTTTGTCTCCGAGAGGGTGACAACTGATAATGTAATGAATGAAGTAGAAGCAGGGCGCTGGAGGCCATGAGGGGTTCCAGGTGGATCTGGAAAGTTAGGGCAGGATTTACCCAAAAATGAGAAAAAATAATTCTACTCCGATAAAAGAGGAGAGATAAAGAGAACTAAACCCACGCTATGATGAAAGGGGAACAAGTCAAAGTATCCGAAGATGAAACTTAAATCTAAATCAAATACACCCAATCCCCCTCTGATGGGTCAACTTAAGATAAATTGACTTAATTTAACGGCGAATATAAAGAAATAACTAAACGTCACGATATATTTCCGTTAAACACTAAATAAATCACATGTTTGTTCAGTCCAAAGACATGCAGATTGGAGTTAAGTTATTTGGAGTCTCTAAATTGTCTATTGTGGCTGTGTGGCTGCAGATCTCGCTCCCCTCCTCTCCCCTGCGTAGCAGTAAACAGTCGTGTTAGTGCTAAAAGGGCAGTACGTGTTCTGACAGTTATGAGCTGATTATCAGAACATGATCTTTACTGTGGAACAGAACAAGAGGGGAACAGACAGGGAGACACAGATGGTATCAGGGAAACAAAAGCGGCAGACAATAGTGAAATCTTGATGGGGATGAAGAATAAGGACGAGAGGGAAGAAGGGAGACAAACAGATTCGACTAAAATTACTTGTGATAAGGATGAATGAGGGAAGAGAAGCCTGTGTGTGTGTGTGTGTCAATATGTGACTTTGGTGCTGTGTCTGTTTGAGAGCATAAGTGGTGATTAATTAAACTTCAGAGAGAATCGATAATGCTCTTATTTCTAGACTTAATTGATAACCTGCTGCCCCTGAAATTAAACAGTAACGCCCCCCAACCATGTGTTTTTGTTTTTGTGTCTGCGCGCACATACGTGTGTACTCACGTCCACTAATCACGCAGCTACCGGCAACACGGTTCTTACAAAGACTGACTCCTGGAGCCATCTTTCATCTCCTAATTGAATAGTGAAGACAAATACACAGTCACACACACACACGCACGCTGGCAATCTGCTGAGGATATTGTTTCTTTAATGCCGCAGTGGTTAGATGTCTACTTTCATTTGAACATATGTATGCATTGCAGCAGCCGCACCGGTGCACGTATGTGATGTAAATGTGGGACGTTCATGAAGCTATTTGCAGCATATGGTCCTGGATAGTCTCCATTTGTTCAGGTCGCAATTCATTTCAATATCCGAAGCGACAGATCGGAGGGAAATTAAAGGAAAAGCAGGAACGGATGAGTGGAGAAACATATTGAATGCACATGTTCCTGCACAGCGATCGCCTCACATATGTATTAACATGCGTTTAAGCTACATGGCATCAGCTGACGCAGCTGTAAGCTGATTTCTGAAACATCGGTTTCTGTAATCAAGGCAGGGGATTAAGCGAGACTGGATTTCTAGATCTTCTCTTTGAAAAAATTGATTTCTTTGTCACGTATATGTGTGAATCCATGTCTCTAATCAGATTCTTACCTGCACATAGACTTCAGGCAGAGAACGCACCATTGTGACAGCAGACGAAACCAAAGATCATCATACGTGTAGCGATGCTAGCTGTATTCAAATTAATTCAATCCCACGTCTGATTGAAACTAACTGAAATCACCTTCCAGAAGTCTCGATTGCTAAGTTTCCACCACAGTCTGTATATAAATGATATGGTTGATATTGATGGTTGCTGGGTGGAGTAGGGGACAGAAGCCGCACCTCCTCCATGTTAGCAGATGGGACATAGACCAAACTAAAAAGTTTATCAAATAAAAGATGCTTTCTGTTTTTATCACATTGATGTTTGTTCAAGTTTTCATGTTTTAAGTACGTTTGGTTTTCATTAGTTATTCGATGCGATAGAAACTGGGTGAAACATCATTGACAGCTGAGACGGACTCAGGACTGGTCAAACAAAATGTCCAAAATGGCGCCTTTCTTATCCGGGGTTCATTTGGCTTCATTACTGGACAGTGGGAGCGTCACCAGTCTTTAAATACAGTCTTCGGTTTCCACTGCTAAACATCTGACTATGTAAACATGTTCAAACTTTAAGCTTCCCCTTAAAGTTCAAACACACACACACACACACACACACACACACACACACACAAATCCCACACATCCATGTATAGTATCACGACTATAGCTGAGATCACAGCATCACAATCCAGCTGGTCTGGAAGCTTCTAATGGCACAAACACCTTTTTTAAAACACTTTTGTTGGCTTTTCTTATTATTTGTCGGTGAAAAAAGGTCAAAGCGTCTGCAAACCTATCTCCATAACAAACAGCCACGTCTGCGATGGAGATGAATCCGTGGTCGTCTTGACCCTTCGTGACCAGCACCTCTCTTCACTCGCGGTAATGAGCGATAACTCCGTCTTTTGCTCTGTCGGTCCACTGTCTATCTAAAGGGAAGTAATGCTGACGACCAAAAATACTCACGTAACAGCCTTTATATGTATGACTGGGTTTTTAAAATGTGTCAGAATACTCTTTACCTTCTAAATGCTCCATTGCCTGTTTCATTTCCATTTCCACTCTCATCTTTTTTTATCTTCTCTCTCTTTCCTCACATCCACAGAGCGGCCCCAGCCACCGAGGAAATTGTACGTTCCTCAGGACAGCGTGGAATCTCGCCGCCTCCATCTCCACTGGGTGACTGGAGGCTCGGGCTCTTCTCCCCTGAGGTACTTCACTGTGCAGCTCAAACAGCTGCCCAGTGGGGACTGGAACACACACATCGCTGACATCCCACACAACGTGACCGCCTGGAGCATTGACAGGTACGCAAGAGCCAATATATACAGTCACACACACACACACACACGTACACATCAAAGCTTGTGGACAGCATAGTACATTTACTACACCACTTGATTGTTTGTTTAAGCCTCTCCCCCAAGCATCCATCCATTAGATATACCTCATCCTTAGAGAGTCATGGGTGAAATGGAGCCAATCCCAGCTGAGATTGGGTAAAAGACGAGAGGCCAGTTTATTATAATCCTGACAAGCAGCAACCTTCATGCTTACATTCACACCTGTGGGCAATCTGAGAAGGAATCTTGTAATGTATATGCATCCTTGTGCTTCTCAAAGCAAAGAAGTGAAAAATTAGAACACAGAATGTGTTTGTATGTATTTAGCACAGGAAGTAAAGAACATGTTTATGGGGGGTTTGGGGGGGGGGCCCACCAGAGAGCAGAATAATCCTACTCACTGCAGAAATGTGGAGGATCAGCTGGAACGACTCTGTCTCTCTTCTCATCCTTTATTCCTTATTTCTCTCTCTTCATCCGTTTTTGCCTTCCCATCATTTATCCCAGTTGTTGTCACCACCTCCGTCCAGCTGCCACTAGCCAAAGCTTTCAAAACCCATCATACGTCCTCGAGCATCACCTCCACTCGTCCTGTGGACGAGGACTCCAGTGCTGTTGAACATCTTTCTTTTCCATTCCTCTCTCTTTATCCCTCCATCCTTTCCTCCCTATTGAGACTGTCATTACAGCAGCAGGTGATTGTGGTCAGACTGGATGGCTACTCCAACCACCCTGACAACCCGAGTAGCAGAACCATGATGAGGCTTATTTGTGTTTAGTGTGCGTCTCCTGCTTCGTGGCGTTTTTCTTTTTTTTCTTTTTTTTTTTCGTGAGCTCCTTCTCAAGCTATCACAGGACTATTTGAGATGCTGAAGATTGTTCTCTCAGTGCGTCTGCATCAAACCCGCCTCGGGGAGACTCTATCCGCCATGATGACGGAGCTGTTGTTGTCTCGATGCCGTTTTTTGAGCTCACTCCATCACTGAATGCTCTCATTATGGCACCGGATGGAGGCATTAGCTTACATCTCAGTTTGCTCACACTCATGCTTACTTGTTATCTGTCCTTAATTGTTGTTTTCCAGCGAGACATCTTTGGAACCAAAACATCGAAGTCCCCAGGCTCTTTCGCAGACACACACATAAAGTCCACACACACACGCACACACACACACGCTCACACTTTCAAACACTGTCCTCAACATCCTCCCAGTGAAGTTGGTACCCCACCCTCTTTGAGCTCGGCCCTTTGATGTTCTATTCCTACGATACCCACAACCCCATAGGGCCTTTCTTGTCCCTTATTGGCCCGGCTCATTATTATACAAGAAGACACTTGAGCAGTTCTTGTGTCGCCTGCTGAATTTTTAACTGGTCCTCTGCAGTCTCCCAGTCTCTCTCTCTCTCTCTCTCTCTGTAAATAAAGTCTGGAGAGGGACCTTGCAGGTACATGGGGGAGCAGCGGTGGAATGACTTCATGTAACTAATTATTGAATCGCTCTTGTTAACCGGTGTTTATAATGGGTTAGATCAATTAAAAATTAAGAAAAATGACTGTTTTGCAGCCACCTGTCCTTTTTTAAAATTTTAATCAATTTCCCAGCGGAAGGGAGAGGGTACGTTTAAACTATTAGCAGCTGTGCAGCAGACTTGTTCAGCTAGCCGCTCCGTGCTCGTCGGACAGGTTGTAAGTGGCTCTTGAGTGAATTGTTTTCAATATGACTGATGTAAATTGTTTTTCCTGTTCTTATTAATGCTTTCACATTGCACAGAGGAGAAATACGGATAAGATGTGGTCGTGAAAATGCTTTGGCAGGGGGGACAATTAGGAAAAAGGGTGTACGATAATTATTATTCAAGACCTTGTGTGATCTTTAGAGACAAGTGAAAGGGCAAACACGCCTGTGAGAGGTGGAGTTAAAGGTACCCAGTGGATTCTCTAAACACTTGTAGAGTCATGTTCTGATGAGAAGTATTCTCTGTATATTCTATAAAATGTGTGGGGTTTTTTTTGTTAGAGTAACAAGAGAAGAGAATAATTTCTTTAATCGGCTTCACAAGGCAGGAATTGCATTTAACAGGTTTGTTAGGTCTTGATGTTGAATAACTGAACACAGGCCTAATGAATGAGAGCACACGCTGGTTTGGAATGAAGATTAACAAAGAGATTATGTTGACCAATAGTTGAAACCGCTCGGCAATTTTGGCAAGAATCAATTTTATCCAAACTATTTCCCTGTGGTGCTAAATCTTCCAAGTCTTCATGAAACCAGAGGAGAGGCACAAAGGTTGCCTCAAGAGCACATCAGCTGAAAACAGACTCGGTGATACTCTCTCACCCGCGCTCCTGCCACATGTAGTTTAAATATATAGTGGGTGAGTGAATGAATGGACCATGAGTGGAAACAAATATCTACCTGAACTTTACCTCTGTTCCTCCAACACTTACAGGTGACTGACAAGCTAGTAATAACACAGTCCAAGTGCCAACTGTGAAACAACGAGAGACTGGAGCTCAGTCCTGCAGCTAAGAGGAGGCACTGAGATGCAATTTTCACCCATGGCACATCTTTCAAGTTCAAAAAAAGCCCCGAGAGTTGGATTAACACCTGGTGCATCCACTGCCATGTGTGAAAATCCATTGTGGGCACTGAGAAAAGTTATATATATATTTTTTTTTTTACTGACTCCTGTTGATGGATGATCATAAGGCACAGCTGCTCCAGAGGAGACTCCTCACCGACATGCATCTTCAGCTGTCGCAGTATTATACGGGACTTGCTCAAAGTTGGGTTAGGGAGTGTTATTGTATCGCTGTGGCTTTATTGGATAAATTGCAGATGCAATACCCTCATCGGTTGGTTTCGTGGTAAAATCACACTGAGACAATATTGTGAATCTTGCATGAGGATCATAGCGCAGCGAGTCCAGTAGCATTTCTCAATATTTTAATGAACTGATTTATAAATTCATGCCTGAACCAAAATGCAAATATATATGTCTGCTCAGACCCAACAGACTCCTTATGAAACCACATTTAAATTCACTAGATCAAGATTCTTATTTGGATTTGCACCAAATTGCACAAACTCATAAATATCTGTCCCCAAAATATACTTGATACTCTTCCATCAAGATCCATGAATTATTCACAAAAACATCAACGGAACACTGATGAAAATATAACCTATATATATATATATATTACAAATATCAATGTGTTTTGTCTATAGGTTGAAGCCCTTCACATCATACAAGTTTCGGATGCTGGCCACCAACGATGTAGGGGACAGTGTCCTCAGCAAAGACACCGAGGCTGTTACAACCCTGCAGGACGGTGAGAGACATGGGCGCTGCAGAGGGGGCAGGGGAGGGAAGAAAGTGGAAGATGAGGGACTATGTGGATTTTAAAACACAGCAGTGAAGAATTGGGAGGGTGAAGGACAGAAGCTTGTATGTGTGTCTTTTTCTTCCTCATTTTCTTCCTGTGTTTTCTCTCCAGTGCCCGATGAGCCTCCAGTGATCCTCGCGGTGAAGCCAACAACCACTACCTCAGTCCTGGTGCAGTGGAAGGTATTGTCATTCTTGTAGCACAACAATAAGACCCACACACAGAAAAACTTGGAGTGCAGGTTAATCATTTACTTGAGATTGCCGCAGACTCACCCTTTGCAGCGTTTGTGTCGGTGGAGGAAATTACCATTGTTACTGAAGCAGGAAAGTTCAGAGGGCAGCACAGACAGATTGAAGAGATGGAGGGAGAGAAGGATGAACAGACGGAGGGACAGATTGTCCTGGGTAGGGAAGAAAAATTTTCAAAAGTCCTAATGAGAATAAACCAGCAGGGGAGATGTTAGAGGGCAAGAGAGGGAAACCTCAGCAATGTCCATCAATGGAGGAAAAAGAAAGCCTGGGGAGCTACTGAAAAGTAGAGGGAGTCTTGGTGAAATGTGAATTGACAGTAAATATAACATGGCAACTTCAACGTTTGTCACTCTTCCTCCACTGTTTGGAAATGTCTTCTCTTGCTCTTTCCCGCCTCATATCAAAGCAGAAGGAGGCAGTGAAGAAACAAAGTCACCAGCAATTTCATCATCCTTTACAAGAGTGCCAAACCCACTGAAGCATCGCTTTGTCTGTGCACGGCAGCTCTTTAAAGTGGACTCTGCTGATAAAATACTGCTCTGCCAGCCGGGCCTGTGTCCTGTCAATCACAGAGAAAATGAACATTTTCCTCACATGCGGCAGAACCCTCAGAAGTTTTCTATTTGAGAAATGGATCATTATTAATTCTCTTCATGTGCCCCCGTGCGTGTGCTTGCTTGTGTGTTTTCCAGCATCCCGGTGACGACGGCATTAACGGAGTGTTGACTGGATATCGGCTGTACTATAGAGAGCTTCCAGTAAACAGCTCGGCTTCCGCTGAAGCAGAAGTCCAGACCACAAAAAACACCAACACAAGTTCCCTCATTACAAGTGAGTAGTACAGATGCTAATGCTACGCCCGTCAAACTCTCTGTTCTCGCACGGCGAGCAGTGAGCAGAGATAACGGTCTAAGTCATTTTTGAAAATATTGGTTCGGGATTGCAGACAGGTAGAAAAAGCAGAGCTCGGATTTTTCGGTTTTATCAACTGCAGTTATCTCATTTTTAATTTGCAGGTTGACTTTTGATTTGTATGAAATGACTCAATTTATAACAAGAATACAGTATAAGGTCTTAAATATGCTGTTGTTGTCTTTGTTGAACGTGTAAGATCAGACTGTTGTTTCATTCTAACCTAATTCCATTTAGCTGCATTGCTTACGCAACTACAAACATTCTTAAATGCACAGTTGTTGATTTTCTCCACGGCTGTGTGCAGATAGTAAACTCAGTCATGCTAACACAAACTGACAAACACCCTGTAAAACACCTTCCATATAGGTTTTCTCATTTGTTTTTGGTTTTGAAGAGGGTAATAAAAGGCGTCCACGCTCTTTAGATACTGAGTGTAGCTACAGTACTATCTTCTCATTGGCCAACAGAGCAGGTCGTCCACTGACCGACCCCCCGGCTCCTCCAGACTGCGAGCCCAAGTGTCTGTGAGCAAGACGGTGAACACAACGAGGTGGTTGTTCTGTCAGTGTGTGAATTATATATCATAGAAAAGTGCAGCATATGGAAGCCACGTGTGAATGTGACTGTAGAGTTCTGTCCATTTATCACTTGCACCATTTCTAGAAGTGGAGGAATCCAAAATTTGACAGTTGCTCGGCTCTGATTGGACAATCGTGTTCCAGGGTCAGTTGCTCGTTGCTGTTATGGAACTTTATTGCCATAATCTATAAGACACAAATGTGGTTGGGTTGAAAAATGTGGCTCATGGGCTCAGTGTTTATTGTAAGATGAATCAGTGACTTTATTGGTTCATACATACCAGCTACTTACCAAGGAGAGCTGTAGCTGCTGCAATGAAATCATTGATTTAATGAAAAATATTTCAATGTCAGCGTCTGAATCATGTGAAATCGCAAAATAAGCAATAAAAGAGAATCGGAGAGGAAAACAGTTTGCACCGATAAGCACAGTGACAATATTTGTAGAAAATTTATAACCTGGCAATCAGAGTGAAGTGTTTATAAAAAGATTTTTGTTCACCGCTGCGGAGCGCTTCTAATAAAACCAGTTCTGCTGTGTTTTTTTTAAAATCAGAGGTTTTAAATATTTAAGAAAAAGAACTGAGAGCAAAAGAATAAGATATTTCGAGGGTCCGTTCAGATTTTTTCCACATCAAAGCTGGAACCAGGTGTGACTATGATGACAGACCGAGCAAACGGCCCTCACAAGGCCGCCCCCCCCCCCAGGAGACCACCCATATTGCACTTTAATATTGCAATAATAAAATGTTATTATGCGCCGTGCTTTATAGTAGATTGAGTATTTGCACGACTAGATGGGCAATTCTGTGTCCATCCAATGGCCACTGCGTCTGACAAGGGTACTGAGACATAAAAGTCTTTAATACAGTCATTTTATTGAATAGCATTATAATTGCACAATTTATTGTTGAACGTGAGATGTTTATTGATTTACTCTCCCTCCGTGTTTCCCCCACTCTTCCCTCAAGCCAAAAGCACCTTCAAGACCGTCAGCAGCGCCTCGCTGACGGAGTTTGAGTTGACACGTAAGTCATTCAACAATAAATTGCAGCGCCGCCTCGGCTTGTGTGCTGTGATAACGTTTTTAAAGTACTGTTATTTCTCTTTAGAGCTAAAGAAATTCAAACGTTACCAGATTGTTATGACAAGCTACAACATCATCGGAGAGAGTCCACCCTCCGCCCCTGTTGAGGTGTCTGTTGGAGAGGCAGGTAAGTGGAGACAGAAAGACACATTTTGTTTATGAACGACATTCGTCTTTTGGCCAGAGAAGCTGTTTTACTGTAACCGAACATTGTTTTTCGAGCTCTTCTCTCCCGTATACGATGTTAGAAAGCTGAATTTTAAGTACACAAGGGAACATTTTAGTTTAGAGTTTGTGTCACGTGACATTGGAAATTGTAGTTTCTCCAAACCCGAGGTCCACTGCCCACATTTTTCGGACTTTCTCACAAATCCCTTGGTTTTCAGCAGCAGCTGGAGGTTAGTTTTCATGGAGATTGATCTGTTGATTTGAACCAGAAGCTCTTGTGATTTCAATCACATTGTCCATCTGCTTTCAAAGGTGGTGTGATATGTTTGAAACCTCTGGACTCAGTGGACTTTGAGTTGCGGATTTTTTTGTCAAAATAAATCTCTACTTTTATCCAATATCGTCCCATCTGCCCCGATGCTTCTGTCTTTCTCTTCTCGTTCATGCTTTGTCGTTTTCACACCTCCTGTCCTGCCCCTTGAGTGACATTGACTTTGATGGGATAGAGGTGCTCACGATTAGATAAGCGTGTGTGTGTGTGTGTGTGTGTGTGTGTGTGTGTGTGAGCGTGCATGCGGTTGTGCATTTGCGTGTGTGTGTGCGCAAATATCAGAATGTGATCCAGAGCTGCACAAGGTCATCTATTTTATAGTGATGGCCCAACCCCTGTTTAACTTTCACCAGAGTCAAACCATGGATCCATTAATCAGACAGGAAAGCAAATATATCTCACACACACACACACACACACACTCTTTACTACAAGACGGTTAGTGAGCATGTTAAAGTGGAGGATGGGTTGAATGACATGACAGCAGGAGGATATAAGTCCTTTAAAAGCTCATTATGTGTTTATCGTTCAGTTTGAGTCCAAATCTTTCACCGCTGTCCGTTTGTTGGTTTGTTTTTATGTTTATTAGCAAGATTACGCAAAAACTACAAGACGAATGACCACGTAGCTCGTCAGAAGGATGCATTGTGGGTCAGGAAGGAACTTTTGGTGCAGATCCAGGAATTATTCATCCCTGTCTTTGAGATTGTGAGAGCATTCTTTGACATTTTCACTGTTTCCCCAGTGAAACCAATCATGGACTTTGATCATAAAAGGCACATTTATGGGATTTGTGCAGCTTGGTTGAATATAAGGTTACTGTTGAGCCTTGGTGGAGGTTTGAACTCTGCTGAGGGACGCACCTATCGCTATTTTTGTATTCCGCACTTTGAGATGAAGGCAGTGCAGTGTGTGCAGTGGGAGGGGCTAGTTCAGTCATTTCCGTAGAGAAAAACGTGCTCAGCTCACAACCATGTGGTGCACCGGTGTAGGTAGAGAGAGATGTTGTCATGCCGACACGAACAGTTTGCCACTTGTCACTGAGGAAATAGGGGATATGCAGGGGAAGCACCAGATGGGGGCGATGTTGAGTTGGTTTAGCCTTTTGACGGTGTTTTTGAGGGCGTACAAAGATCTGCACTTTATAATAGAAACACACACTTTTTTTTTTTTTGTGCAATCTCACACTCCCTCCGTCAGACTGGTCCTGCCTTCATAACCAATGTGTGTGTGTGTGTGTGTGTATGTAGAGTTTAATACGCATCACATGCAGTGGAGTGAGAGGTGAGGATAAGCAGCAGGAGTCGGAGGGGAAGGAAAACAGGGGCTGGAGGGGGGGGGGTGATGAAATGGGGTGATATGGCCTTTTCTTTAGCCTCAGGTGCAACTGCTGAGCTGTTCATGCATATGTGTGGTGCAGTGGAGTAACGAGGTACCGCCTTAGGCCCGTTCTAATTGGAAGAATAGAACATGTCTTACCTACTTTCCTTCCTAACAACCAGCTACACACACACACACACACACACACACACACA